TAATAATAATAATAATAATAATAATAATAATAATAATAATAATAATAATAATATTAATATTAATATTAATAATAATAATAATAATAATAAAAATAATTATAACAACAATTATAGCGATGATTATAATAATCATGCTAATGATAAAAATTGTGATAATAATGATGATTTATAATGACAATAATAATAATAATAATATTTTATAGTATTTATTGTATATACATTTATGGATAAACTTTGGATGGCATGTTCGTTGGTCTTCCCCATTGCAGCAGGGTAAGATATTGACGTCTCAGCCGGGTGGATGGCACGTGCTCTCTCCGGGCAGTATTTTCGCGTGCGATTTCAGGTGCGGCTAATTCGGAACTCTATATTCACCAGAATCAGGCGAAGCGTCGAATTGCGCACGCTCCAATTACAATCAGTAATTAGCAGTATACCATTATTCTGAAGCGTATGAACTCGTTTGCGGTACGAATTAACAGTCATTTCCCACATCTGTATTCCGTGTCTCCAGGGGGATAAGTAATTATATTAATAATAGAGCTAAATGCACCATATACAATTGGAATTTAAATCAAATTATCGATTACTCTAAGCTTTTACGAAATCGATAAGTATCGGTTTCTAGTACCTGTTCTTTAGAACAAGTATATTTTACTTTTTTGAAAGCTCCGATCGTTCAACCCAAAATTTGAACAGAACCCGTTTTTTATATTCGTGAGTGTATGCAACAAGTACGTGTGTACTTGACGACAATGTGATGCTTTGTATATACAGGGTATTTATGATAAGAGACACTATTAAAAGGAGAAACTATTCGTAATAAGCACTATTCAAAATTAAGCCCTAAAAGTGCGCCACACAATTTTTTATATTTTTAAAATTTACAACTTGTTTTATTTTAAACAGCGCTGTGTATTATTTATGCTTTATCAACCTTTTGGTCGTATGTTTAAACAGCAGCTGTTGCTGCTGCCACAAAGCGATCTTTGACGTAACAATGACAACCGCACAAGCTACATTGTTGACTGCTAATTGCTGAGCGGCGCTTGAGCGGCAGCAAAATTTTTTAACCAGTCGTTTTTTAGCTGCCGCATCGAATGGTTTTGAAGCGGCATTTAAATATTTACATATATTCCTATTAATTTACCAAAATGCGCGTCGTCATCTTATCAGCACTTTTACTATTGCTCAATCTCAATCTCGGCTGGGTTAAGGCGAGCGAGAAAAATACGAATAGAACTGGCAATAAATTGCCTAATGTAATCATTATAATGGCCGATGATATGGTAATTGATATAGTTCACAACCAGTTTTGTGCGAACAACAATAATTAACAGTTATCACTAACTAATTAAGGGGTTCGATGATATTAGCTTTCGCGGTGGACGTGAATTTTTAACACCCAACATCGATGCACTGGGCTTTCATGGACGTCTGCTGGATCGTCTCTATGCACCGGCCATGTGTACACCTTCCCGCGGCGCACTGTTGAGTGGCAAATATCCCATACACACAGGTAAGCCGTGTCTCTCCAAAGTAATGCTTATGTAGTCTAAGCAAACTGGGTCATCGTCACAGGTACACAGCACTTTGTGATTAGCAATGAGGAGCCCTGGTCGCTGATGTTAAACACCACGCTGATGCCGGAGATCTTTCGGGCGGCTGGTTACTCAACCAATTTGGTGGGCAAATGGCACTTGGGATTCGCTAGGCCGGAGTATACGCCCACACATCGGGGCTTCGATTATCATTATGGCTATTGGGGCGCCTACATTGACTACTATCAACGGCGCTCACAGATGCCGGAGAAAACCTATATCGTTGGTTATGACTTCCGGCGAAACATGGAGGTGGAGTGCACAGATCGTGGCGTTTATGTTACGGATTTACTGACCAACGAGGCGGAGCGTGTTATTCAAGAGACTGCGGCTAAGCAGCAACCACTTTTTCTAATGATTAACCACTTGGCGACGCACACGGCCAATGATAATGATCCATTGCAGGCACCTGAGGAGGAGGTGCAAAAGTTTCTACACATCAAGGATCCAAATCACAGAAAATACGCAGGTGAGCTTTATATATTCAATTATTCAGCATTACGTCTTGTTGATCAAAAGCATTTGAATAGCCATGGTTTCCAAATTGGATCAGAGCGTGGGCCGTGTGATTACCGCGTTGGCCCGTGCAGAGCAGCTAGACAACAGCATTGTGATCTTCTACTCGGACAATGGGGCGCCTTCGGTGGGCATGTTCGCCAACACGGGCTCCAATTGGCCACTCAAGGGTCAAAAGAATTCACCCTGGGAGGGTGGCGTGCGTGTCGCCGGCGTTATTTGGAGTCCATTGCTTACGGCGCGTGGCCATTTGTTTACCCAACCCATTTATGTTGGCGATTTTCTGCCAACGTTGGCGCATGCCGCGGGCATTGAGCTGCCCGAGTCGCTGCAGCTCGACGGCATTGACTTGTGGCCGCAGTTGGCGGGCAACAAAGATGCTCCACACGTGCCGCGAGAAATATTGCACAGCCTGGACGATGTGTCGCACTTTAGCTCACTGCTGCTGGGTCAGTGGAAGTATGTGAATGGCACCACTTTGGCGGGACAGTACGATCAACTGTTGACTCATCGCGAACTGGATGAGCTAGATCCGCGCGCGCGTCGTTATGTGGTGGAGGTGCGTAATTCGCCTGCCTCCAAAGCTCTGGCACGATACGATCTCCAGCGACTTACACAACATCGGATGCATACTCTCAGGAGATTAGCAGCTGTGCGCTGCGGTGACATGCATCGTGGTTGCAATGCCTTATTGGAGGAATGCCTGTACGATCTGAGCGTCGATCCGTGCGAGCTCAACAATCTAGCTTACTCTGAACGGCATGCGGAAATTCTCTCGTCGATGCGCCAGCGTGTGCAGCAGCTGCGTGCTGGAGCTTTGCCGCCTGGAAATAGTCCAGGCGTCAGCTATGCTAACCCGAATCTGCATGAGTGTACGTGGGACAACTTTGAAGTCAAGAAGGCGGGTCCAGGTAAGTTAAAAAGCAGTAAATCAAATGTAGTATTTAAATATATTCGATAATTAATGTTGGCAGTGCCGCTGGACTGCGATTACCATGGAATTCCTTGCAGTGCTTAGCCGTACCGTTAATTTCGATAACGATTTCATGCTCAGCAAGTTTGAATATCGAATATATGGCAGCACAGTCTGGCAACGTTGTACATCTTTCAAATTTGACTTAGATTTTTGAATTACTTTTTAATTGCCTTTTATTTTAATTTTTCAATTATTGTTATTGGAATTCTTGTTAATGTTTTTAAATTCTGTGGAATTAACATAAAGTGCATTACAATTTAAATGCGAACAGTTTGGCGCCTAATAGTGTCAGCTGATGGCATTGTCAGCCGTTGTTAATAAGGGTGGAAAAGAAAACGCATACCCAGTATCTGTCACAGGATCTCAGACATACAGTTTTGATACCGTCATGGAGGAACGAGCTGTTTTAGCAAATATAGCCACAATCATTACAAAGGACCTGCTCATCGATGAGCAGCCCAGACACAGCAGCAGTGGTAGCTTCTTTTCCAGCAGTTATCCGTTGCTCGACGCCAGCGATGACGACGAGGCCGAAATCTTTGCATTAATGCAGCAAAAGCGTGCCGTCGCATCAGCCGGGCAGGTTAAGGGAAAGCCGAAGCGCACGCATATCGAAGAGCCAGCGACGGCAAGCGACAAGATCCCCAGCAAATTGGCCAGATTGGAGTGGAAATATGCAGAGCTTAATTTGTTGCAACGCTATGCGGATGTGCAGTTTGAATCTTTCTTACATATGCGCAAGCTAACCTTTCTGGTGAGTACGCGTATGCCAGCACCAAATAGAAAAGCTTCATTACAACCCAATTGGGCTTACAGGAAATCCAGCAGGCTCTGGAGAATATTTTGCAGAGGAATGCATTGCCAGGCGCGCCCACTCCACAGACAACGCTCTCGTTAGCTCTTTGGAAACTGGCTACAGATGAACATTTTGAGGAAATCGCACGCAAGTTTCAGTTTCCTTGGTCGGTGTGTCAGCAGGTAGTGCGTAGCTTCTGGCACATTATCTCCGACAACTATGAGAGTTTTATCAAGTGGCCCAACTCTTTGGAGGCCCAGCAGAGTACACTGCAGGGCTTTCAGAACGTGCCGCAGCTGAGTTGCTTCCACGAGCTATTTGGCGTAATATCCCTGAAGCGTCTGGACATTTTCCTGGAATGTGAACATGCCGAGGTGGCCGTTGTACTTCAACTGATTTGCAATGGCGAGCACAAGATCATTGACTGCTATGTGGAGCTGGAGCAGGATTACACCTTCGAGGAATCGCCGATTGGACAAACGCTGGCTCTCAATCCACGCACAATGCCAGCGGGCAGCTACCTAATTGGCAGTACTAGTTTTCCACTCAAATCCTATTTGGTACGACCCATTGAGGCAGAATGCTTTCGCAAGGATACCGTCTTCAATGGGTTGTTGGAGCCAGCATACCAGTTAGCCGACGATGTGATGGACACTTTGGCGCGTCGTTTTCAAACATTATATGCTCTAGAGGCCCGTGATTTGAACGAGGTGCGGCTTATTGTGGAGAGCATTTGTGCTATGCACAACTTATGCGTGGATTTTCAAGACAACTATTTAGAGACGGAGGCAGGTGGGCAAAATAAATTTAACTGGGGCGGAGATCTTCCTGGACGTAGAGGTAGCGAGAAGGATGCCAAGGGACTACGTCGCCGGACGGAACTTCTTGACGCACTGGTAAACACTGAAGAGGGGGAGTAATAATATATATATACGCAATGAAATAAAAATATGTACGATACGCTGTGCTGCAAATCACTTGGAAACATCTAACCGTCCACTGGTTTCGAAATAAAAACAGTATTTAGTGCTAATTAGGGCAGTTTTAGCAAGTAGCCTGCAATATTTGCGAAACTATCGATAACGGATGTTGTTAGGTTCGATAGTTTGATTGCCGGCTACTCAACATCTGGCAACTCTGTAGCAATAACAAAACAAATGCACGTGTGAAATTTTGTTTAATTCAAATAAACCATTTGCGGATAAAAAATGGATACATTCGACATATTTAAACAATTAACAGCTGGTGTACGATTTACCAAGAAACGTGCGGTATGTAGAATATGGTAAATAACAAACACTTACTAAAACTTATGCTAGGCAGGCTCCGTCATCCAAGCCAAACAAGGTAAGGGAGCAACCGCGACAGCTACCATCGGCCATTGAGCCAGCCAAAGCGTCTGAGTCAGACGATGAATGCACAGCAAAGGACGAATTTCGTTTGCTTACTAATGTCACTGGCACAGCACCAACTGCACCCAAGCAGAAAAAGGCCAAAAAGCAATTGTCAAAGGAGCAGGCAGAGCAACTGCTACGTGAGGAGAAGATTAGTGCGCTGCGCAAGGAACACAGCATAACAGTGCTGGGCAAGGATGTGCCAGCGCCCATAAGTAGCTTTGACGAGTTGAGCACGACGGATTTCAAGCTGCTGCCGCGCCTGCAAGAGAATCTTTTGTCCTATGGCTTCGCACAGCCCACACCTATACAAATGCAGGCGCTGCCCGTGCTGCTGAATAATAGGGCACTGATGGCCTGCGCCCCAACGGGCTCGGGTAAAACATTGGCTTTTCTCACGCCCATCATTAACGGGCTGCGCAGTCATAAAACGACTGGGTTGCGCGCCCTGGTGCTGGCGCCCACACGAGAGCTGGCCCAGCAAATCTATCGTGAGTGCGTGGAGCTGACCAGGGGGACGGGACTACGCACGCACTTCATCAGCAAAGTGAGCGAAGCGCGGCAGCAACATGGACCCGACTGCAAGCAGAAATATGACATATTGATATCAACGCCAAACCGTGTTCGTTTCCTGCTGCAGCAGCAGCCGCCACTGCTGGACTTCAAAGGCATTGAGTGGTTTGTGTTGGACGAGGCCGATCGTCTCATGGAGGAGGGTCAGAACAACTTCAAGGAGCAGCTGGATGAAATCTATGCGGCCTGCACGCATCCGCAAAAGCGTGTGGCCTTTTTCAGTGCCACCTACACGGTGCCTGTGGCCAAATGGGCGCTGCGGCATCTCAAAAATCTAGTGCGAGTGACGATCGGTGTACAGAACAGCGCCACGGATACAGTAAAACAGGAACTGCTCTTTGTGGGCTCGGAAAGCGGTAAGCTGCTGGCCGTGCGTGAAATGGTGCGCCAAGGACTACAGCCGCCAGTGCTAGTCTTTGTGCAGAGCAAGGATCGTGCCAAACAGCTGTTCGAGGAGCTGCTCTACGATGGCATCAATGTAGATGTCATACACGCGGAGCGATCGCAGCATCAGCGCGATAATTGTGTACGCGCTTTTCGCGAGGGTCACATCTGGGTGCTCATCTGCACGGAGCTGATGGGGCGCGGCATTGACTTCAAGGGCGTCAATCTGGTCATTAACTATGATTTTCCGCCTAGCACCATTTCGTATATTCATCGCATTGGACGCACAGGTCGCGCTGGTCGTCCGGGACGCGCCATTACCTTCTTTACGCAGGACGATACGGCCAATTTGCGGAGGTAAGTGCCATCAATTCGGACGTACTTCAGATTCAATTGATATATTCTATTGATAGCATTGCGCAGATAATCAAGAACTCGGGTGGAGAGGTGCCGGAGTACATGCTGCAAATGAAGAAGGTCCGCAAATCGGAGGCGAAAATGCGTGCCAAAAAGCCGTTGGAACGCGAAGACATATCAACCAAAATACGCCCTGAACCGAGGCCAACGCCCAAAACCTTGGTCAAATTACAAAAAATAGAAAAAACCGAAAAGGTTCTCAAACAACAAAAGAATAAGAAGGGTAATAATTTGGCCAAAATTGGAGACGCCAATGCGTCGCGCAAAACCAAAAAACTGGCGAAAATCAAAGACCAAATAGAGAGCAAAGTGGCAGCAAAAGGCAAAGCGAAAAAGCCCAAGAAGAGTGTTAAATGATGCGCCTACTTTAAGCAATAAATATGAAGGTAAGTGTATATAAATATTATCTTGAACATTTTTATAAGGTACGCTTAGATATGTATGTTGCTTGGCAGATTTTTTCACGACTTGTGCTGATGATTCCTCTAAAGACGGTCATAAAATAAAGGTCCTGACGGGATATTCACTTGTAAAAAACAACTTTAAACTAAGTTTAAGTTCATAGCATATGGGAAAACCATTGAAATAATTGGACAATTGAGTTTTCCCATGTGTTCATTTTATGTGAATAAACGAAATCAATATGATAAATGCCATTTGCGATTTTTTAAAGTGAATCAAAAGCATTTAAGTAACATTCAATAATCATTTTAATGTTCCCATATTTCAATATAAAACATGTTTTCAAAAAATATGCGTGCTTCACTATTTGTACTAAGTAATCAACAAGTGATTTTTAATTTGATACTAAAAGGCGCAATCGGAATAGTAACAATTACAAGTTCTATTTCTCGTCTTTGACAATCTTCTTTGATGGCCTTCCACGTCTCTTGGGCTGCAAGTCGCCGCCGTTTACGTGGTTTGCCAAGTGAATTTTAAGTTGATCGCTTCTGGAGAACCGCGCTGTGCATTCGTGGCACTTATATGGTTGTTCTCCTGTATGGACGCGTACATGCCTGTCAAGATCTCGCCGACGGTTAAATGCTCTCGAGCAGTGGCTGCATTTATATGGATGGTCACCGGTGTGCACACGCAGATGCACCGTCAGATCGTAATTTCTGACAAAAGACTTTGAACAGCGGACACATTTATGCGGACCCTCGGCGGAATGAATGTGTACGTGGGCCCGTAAATTTGATTTTTGAGTAAAGGCCTTCGGGCAATGTGGGCACTTGTGTGGACGCTGGCCATAATGCAATTGTATATGGTCCCTGGCATGATGACTTTGAGCAAAAGCCTTCGGACAGTGCGGACACTTGTATGGGCGCTCGCCGGTGTGGGTGCGTCTGTGCGCCTGTAGGGTCTTATGCCGGCTAAATTCCTTGGGGCATTCCAGACACTTGTATTGGCGCTCTTCGCTATGCAGTTGTTTGCGGGCTGCCTGTTGTTTCTTGCCATGAAAATGAGATTCTTTTTTACCAGAACTGGTATCCGTTTTCGGTTCCTCGCTCCAGTCGCTGTGGTAGCTGGTGTCAGACTGTGATATCTGGCTACGTTCGATGTAGCTCTTACGTTTAGATTGACGAATGGGATAGCGACCTGTGCTCGATGGCGTGTCTGCTAAGTCCCTATTTAAAAGGGATTTATCTTCTTCTAAGCTTCCCCCAATGCTCTCTGGCTCATCACGCTCGATGTACCCCTTACTGTGCTCTCCAGGCTCCACGTAGCTCTCGAGTGAGTTTTCAGCATTCATGGATTCCATCTGTTCCAAGTCTTCATTGGTTGGTTTACAGTTTTCTCGCTGTGGACTCTCCTCGTGCTCCACTTTGATGCAATCGATATCCAAAACTCGCTTCGGCAGGTCCCATTCTTCGGCTGCCAGCATATCACAAAAGGCATCGACATCGACTTCAACTGCCCTTTTCTCAACCTTCAAGGAAAGCAATTTGTAGCTATGCTCACATCTGCGCTTGAATTTAAACGCCGTTTGGGCATCCGCCGTGCATGGCAGGCATATCATCTTCGGAAATGTATCGTCGCTTTTCACCCTGCAGTCGGCGCATTCGTTCAGGATGTCTGCCAAGCTGGGCTCATCTTCCGACTGCTCTCGCTCGCCAAATATCTCCATAAGACTGGCGGATCCGCTCAAGCAGATGCGGCATATTTGATCCATACTTTTAACAACAGGCTGCTTAAGCCTGGACATTTACTACTTGCATGCGAGCAACAGATGTACAATATCGATAGTCTAGGGTGACCATCTTTGACATAGAACATTCAATATATCGATACTATCGATATGATTTTCATAGCGGTAAAAATTTAAAAATTCGAACAACGTTCCTGAATTACCCCATTTTTTAAAGAGCCTTCGATTGCTGCCTCACCCTCATAATAAAATGTCATATTTTTAATGCGGTTTTGATATATTTACTTTTTTGTATACGTATTATCTTATAAATAGTACGTTTTCATATTTAGTTTTTACTGTGCAGTTAAGTTTTTGTTTTATCGATTTATTTGCATTTGTGTCAATACCTTATTCATTATATAAATTAGTGGTTTTTACTTTCGTTAAATGCTATTCTTAAATTTAATTTGGAAGCAAACTTCTAATTTGTTTACCAAGTTAACAACGTTTTGAATAAAAATAATGTTATACAATAATAAAGTGCGAAATCATTTTTAATAAAAATCAATAATAAATTAATATGAATGAATAATATATATATAAATGTATGTTTATGAGTTTCAAGGGAACAACGAGACAAAAAATATAATAATAAATAAAATGCATAAAAACCTACATTAAAAGTTATAGCTGCGATTTTGTTTGTTTTGTTATTTCGAGTTGGTTCCTTAGCAACATATTGTGACTTCCGCAGCTGTCACAACACTTAACAGATTGCATTACTTTTCGACAATTGTTTAAACTTATAAATTAGATATATGTATGTACTCGTTAATTTTACTATTGAAATTTGTTATATACTAGGTTAGGTCTAAATTTCATTGTATGTTAAATCCTTTTTTAAGCTTGATAGGAAGCTGTTGTAAGGGCTTATGTGAAATTCGGTTAAAATTATTTGTTTGATTTACTTGTCGTTCTTTATGCAATTATCATTTTGATGCATAAACAATTTACAAATTCAAGTATTGTTTTATAAGCCCTACATGCATTATTATTTATCAGTTTTTTGTTTAGGCATTTTACAATAAGCATATTAGCAATTATATATGTAAATATATATATATTTGATTTTTAATGCGTTATTTTTCGAGACATTTCAGTTAATTTTTTGGAGAGAAGGCATTTTAGAAATTTCCTTGAAATTTTAACCAACAACTATTTTTTGTTTTTTACAAAGAACATTTAGCATTTGTTAATAGCTAATGACATTTTACGTTCATGTAAGCATATGCATATGTTTATATATATCTATTTATATATGTATATATGGGGGTGTGTCTCGGTTTGAATCTAACACTATGCATATTTGCTAAAACGCGCGACACAACAAACATTTTCTTTTAAAGCGCTACCAAATGAGAAACAATTAACAATTAATTATACAATAACGTACACATTGCTCAACTTTAAAACGCTGGAAAAATTTGGCTTCGATTTGTTGCAGTTATCTGTCGGTCTGTTTGTTGTTGTTGTTTTTGTTTCAGTAGAAATGCGGCGGCGGCAGCGTTTGCGACGGCAAAGCTGGCGTCGGCTTCGGTTCCCATCAGACGACAGAATCCTTCCGTATCCTGCGATTGTTCATTTGTGTGTTAGCATACATGTGTGTTTAAAAGTACAAGATGAATACAAAAAGAAATATAATTATGTAGTTATGAGGGAATCGCTTTATCGATCATGCAGTATAAAACTATTATCGCACCACATATAATTCTCAGTCTGGGGTGCACGCATAACGCCAACGCCGCCGCCCAGACGACGATAGTTCATGCAGCCGCACAGGCGCCATTGATTCGTCTCTGGATCATACACCTCAATGGTTTTCAAATAGGCGGAGCCATCGAAGCCGCCCACAGCGTACAGTTGCCCGTTGACTACGGCTAGGCCGACCTGCAATATATGGTAGAATTAGGATATGTTGAATCATTAAATAACAGGGCATCAATTACGCCGCTACGCCGCGAGGTCATGGCCACTATTGGGCTCCAGGTGTTGGTTAGTGGATTGTAGCGCTCAGCAGACGACAGTTCCATGCAATCATCCCGTCCGCCAACGGCATAAATATAGTTATTAAATACGGCGCAGCCAAGATGTTTGCGACGAGTGGACATAGGATTGACGGCCACCCATTTGTTTTGCCTATTACGTGTGAATAAATACAGATTAGGCAAAGTATATGTCGATTTCTTGGAGAATAATTTACCTAGGATCATAGCGTTCTACAGTGTTGAGCGGGCATTGGCCATCGGAGCCGCCTATGGCATATAGATGGCCGCTCAGGACGGCAACAGCAACTCCCAGACGGCGTGTGGTCATTGGAGCCACCTTGGACCATTTGTTCTCCTTTGGATCATAGCGTTCGACATGATTCAAGCATTGAACGCCATCCTGACCGCCCACCGCATACAGAAAGCCATCCAGTACGGCTACGCCGACGCTTGTGCGGCATGATGTGGTTGGCGCAACATCGCAGGACCATTGATTAGTCTGCGGATCATAGCGCTCTATGCTATTCAAATAACTTTGACCATCATGTCCACCAACAGCATAGAGTAGATCATTGAGAACGGCAACGCCGACGCCGCATCGTCGTTTGCTCATAGGCGCAACCATTTTCCAATCATTGGTCTGGGGATCGAAACGTTCAACAGATGCAATGGCATCGCCCGAGCACCAGCCGCCCACAGCGAAAAGCACCTCTCCGCGCCGCGTGGGCTTGCGTGGACGGGTACGCGGGCCCTGCATCAGTGGTCGCTCCTGTGGCAGTAGCAGGTAATTTTTGGCCTCATCGACCAGATCACGGCAGGCTTCGTCCGAGCGAACCAGGAGATCAGAGCCCACAGTGCCCACCAGGAACTTGGGCGAAAGCAGCGGCAAACGCACATGCTGCAGCACCTGTTTGACAATAGAGCAATAGAGTAAAGATTAGGCTCAAAATAGACCGTTTTAGGCTGGAACTTACCTGTGCCAAATGCTGTCGCCGCTCAGCGACATTGTACTTGAGCCAGGACATGACTGCATTAAAGACCTGCTCCTCGCTGCGAACGTTGAGCTCATCGCTGCAAATGATATCCACCAATTGGCCGACGGGCAAAAGCAGGAACTCCTCGCTCTCCATTACCTCTTGGAAGTTGTGTTGCGTAAATTTATCAGCAATGCGCAGCAGCTCGCGGCAGGAGTGAGTGTCGGCGAAGGCGCGTATGCCCAGGCAGTTGGTCGGATCGAGTTGTCGCTTCAGAAACTCACAGCATATGTCCTGTATTTCGACGAGCTGCAGGAGGCAGGCGGCTGGCAGCAGCGTTTGGACATTGGACTCCTCCACAATAATGTGGGCGGTGTAGCAAAAATCAATTAGCAGCTCCATTGCATTCTCATCAATATCGCGAATGGTGACCTCTGTTTGGCGCGACTCCTCCAGCTCGCCAGTGAACATGGCACAAAAATATGAGCTGCATGCGCTCAAGATGACGCGATGGGCAAAGATCTTGCGTCCGCCCACATTGAGTACTACGTCACAGAGCTCCCGATGCCGTCGCAGCATGTTTAGTTCGGTAAGCGTCACTTTTGGATGCTTCTCCGATGTGTGGGTGAGTCGGGCTGGCGAGGGCGGGCGTTCGGCACCGCTGGTGCCACCGCTGCCCAGGCCAGTTCCCGTTGTGCCCGAGCCACCTGTGGCTGCGGCAGGAGCGCCGCTGCCAAGGCCGGTGGAGCCAGGCAGTAAAGGATCGCCCATTCTGTTCGCCGCTAAACGCAGCGGGGCGGAAGCCCAACCCCACACGGCGTCTATCTATATTGATGAAAAAGAACACAAATGAGTGGAGGAGAGTGGATACGCTTTTGCCTTCAACATTGCCTGCTGCCCACAGGCTCGCAACACAAGTAAAAAGCCAATTTGAGATGAGCGCGTGAAAGGTAGCTAATATATTGACTTCACGACCTAATTTTAGCCAAGTTATGGTAATATGTATGTTACTTGATACAAGGGGAACACAAATTTTGTTTACTTTATATGTTTATAATTGTGTATAATTGTAAAACAGGGAATATACAAAATATGTTACGTTAGCTACTGTGTGGGCGTGATCAAATTGTCACGCGCTCATCTCTAAATTAAATCGTAGTCTCAATACCTTTGCGTCTCTGTTATCCACGGATCCAAAGCACGTCCACGGAAACCAGGTGCAGGCGGAAATGTTCGAAAATGCAATTTTGGTGCTTGCTTAATGCGACATTTGTGCTTAAGATTGGATTTGCTCGTTTTCAAATTGCAGTTGCATACGACCAGATTTTCCACTTGCACAGATTTTTGTGCTTTGTGAAAAATCGAACAATCAAAAAAACAAAAATTTTGTGACGTTTAGCTAAGTCTGCGCGTCAGTTTACAATTGGCTGCCAGTGGTGGGCATAGCATTAGCACAACTAGCATTATTTAATAATGCATTTGAACGTATTTTTGCACAATAAACACGAATTTTCACAATATTTTCATCAGAAGCTTCTCGTTGAGATAGATAGAGGCAGGCCTTTTTAGAGCTGTCAAGTATCGTTCAAACTATCGATAGAGTTGCTGACAATTTATTATCGATAATCAATGTGATGTGATATGTATCTTTTATAAATTTTTAAATATTGCTCTGATTCTGATGTTAAATTTGATAAATGTTATATTTTAATATGATTCATTATTGAATTAATGTTATATATATTATGGATTATACAGTTAACGCATATTTGGACACTATTGATCGCTTTTCAGCCCTGTTGCGCGCAGTGTGACCGCTTGCAGCAAGCACTTGGCTATACATGTGAATTAACCGACAACAACGCTAAGTACACATAGTTTGGTATTTTGCTGATGCTAAGAGGTGGTCTTACGTGTGCGACTTTCATATGAGTATGTGCGACGAGGAAGCATTTTTCCAAAAATTAAAAAGCTATTAAATAGTGCAAAATAATTGATAAATTTAAGTGCAACGTATAAATAAATAAATACTAATTACGCATGCATATAAATATCAGCGAATAAGGCAAATTTAAGCAGCGAATAAGAGTGACGCAAAAACCACATACACACATACAGGCAGCCTCATTTTTTTTTTAGAAAGTACGTGAAGAAAAACAAGTTTGATTGTGTGCGTACGTATGTCGAGTGGAGAGTAGTGGAGACTTTGTTTCTGTTTAGCGACACAATTTATTGTGGATGGCTTACAACAAAAACAAAAACAACACAACAACAAAAGCAGATAATGTTGATTGCAACACAACATCAACTAGAAGAAATGCATACAACAGAAACCATCAAGTACAACAATTGCATTGGAAATTGAAATTTGTGCGACAAAAGCAGCAACAACAGCAGCAGCAGCAGCTAACAACGATTTTCGACGACTGGCAGCCATATTCACAGCTACAACAACAGCAAAATCAGAAAAAACGCGATCCACGTTATTGTAAAGATACGTGACAAAAATCGAGAAAAGGAAGACGAAGACTGAGCATGAAATTAGCGTGAAAAAAAAACCAAGAAAACAAATTTTAAAAAAGCGAATACTACTGTAAAAAAAAAAAACAAAAATTATTAACTTACTGTATTGCATACAACTAAACGTAATTAATAACACAAAATATACGAAATATTATGGAAATTGCCCCAATATTTAATACCGCCGTCGTCGCAACAGCCGCCGCTGCCACCGCAACCACGTCGACGTCACAGCACAAGCAGCGACAGAGGCGCTCCGCTGCCGCAGCAGTCTTGGCAGCAACAACAACAACAACAGCAGGCAAATCATTTAATGCCGAAAGCAGCGCCAATCAAAATGATAACGGTAAATTAACGCAGGCAATACAAACAAAACAATAAAATTAATTGCATAAACAAACTACAATAAAAAAAAGTGCCATAGTTTTACATGAAAAGCTCTTGAACAAATGCAGCGAGCAAGCGAGACGGAGATATAATACCTCTATCTCTATTTTTATCTGTTCGCCTCAGTAGTTTTCCACGCGCGCAGTTGCAGCGAAGTCGCTTGCAACACTTGAAAAAGCAGGTCGCTGAACCGAGCCCCTTCCCAATCAGCCGCCCGTACCCCGAGCCGTTGTTTTTAGAGGCCAAAATACGATTAGTTACAAAAAAAATAGTGTTTATAATTGTTGTTGCGCAATTTGTAGATCATTGGCCCAGCTGTGATCGCAATACGAATGCTAACACATACACTAGCAATGATTATTCAGCATTATTTTCAAGGTGCTCTCTGCTTGAATATTTAATAACTGAAACTGCAGACGACAAGGCAGCAAGAAACGACTGAAGGTCGACAATATCAGGTGGGGCCATACTATTAGTTAGCGTTTTAGGGACTCATAATCATTGTCGAGTTCATGGCTCTCAAAGAGATTAAATTGCCAGGTGGCTAATTGTCAATTAGAATATAAAAATAGCACATTTTAAAGTCTCTTTTGTAGAATGCTCTCGTTTTTGTAACATTAGCAAGATACATACAATTCGGAATGAAGGTGCCACTTTTCCAATCGTAGATAAATTTATTCTTAATTTTTTTTTTTCGATAACTTATCAGTTTGAATGAAATTGGTATCAATTTTCAGCTTCAATGTTTTGACCATATCCCTTAATACTTGAACTGGTTAGGAATGTAGCTTAGTTTTTGGATGCATACCCTGCAATTTCGTCGATCGGTTTTACACACTTCTCAGCGAGAAGTTGCCGATAGAGAAGGTGAATTGATTGATCGATTAATAACTCAAATGTCGTTGTTTACTATGTGCGAGGCGGTGCAATTTTATACAATATATTGTATTTCAATCAGTTCGAGTCAATCCTCTATAATAGTACAACTGCAGTAATCAAGATATATGTAGATTTACATATTTATTGAAATAGTTTGCGAATTTCAAAGGAATATGCTACGATTTTACGTCCCTTATGCAATATCTGGAGAACAGCTTAAAATTAATTTAATATTTTGCTGGTCCTTATTATGCTTAATTATATTATTATTATTATATACATATAGCAAATTTTGTCAGTCAAATACGGCTAAAATGAACCTGACATGTGTTTAGAAAATTTTCAATTAACTTAAAAAAAAAACCTAGTATTTTTAAATTATGATAACAATAATTATGCAACAAACAATTATATCTTAGAACTGATAAAAGTTGCAACATTTGAAAATTGCATAACTAATATATATTCATATTTTATATCTAAACTTTATATTTAAAGTCAATAACTTGGCGTTGATCGCATCGCTGACGCTGCAAAAGGTGCTTAATATTAACAATATTAACAACAACAACAACGGCAGCAATGTCCCTGGCAGCGATAGTGTGTTGTGTTATCAGCAAATGTCAGCAGTCACAAAAGCAACGGCAGCAATTAAACAACAACAGCGACAACAACTACAACAACAACAAGAACAACAACGACGACACTCTGATAACGAAGCCGAGAATGATGTATTAAATCAATTGCTAAAAACGGGCGCGGTATTTACAACAACAACAGCAGCAGCAGCAACAACTGTTGCTGTCGCCGCAGCCGCCGCCGCCTCCTCCACGACTATCAGTGCGCCCATTGCGATTGAGAGGACGACACAGCAAAAGCAACAGCAGAATGGGAATAGTGCACAAAAGCAACGCCTCAATTCATCCATATCATCGACTAACTCAAGCACATCAACCAACTCCTCAACGGCCAATAGCTATGGCAGCTCCTGTTCCTCCACGGAGGATCCCACGGCAACGGCAACAGGCAAAGCGGCGGCAATAACAACAACAATAAAGTCGTCCAGCATTAGATTGCCAGAGAAATCGAAAATTCCGTCCGATATACTCGACGATCTGGCCAGTCGGTTCATAATAAATGTGCCAGATATGGAGCTAAATAATTTAATACGAATTTGCTTTCAAATTGAGCTGGCACATTGGTTCTACTTGGACTTTTTCTGTGCGCCCGAGGATTCAGACCAACAGCAGCAGCAACAGAAACGAAAGCTGCCCGTGGTGGGCATCAAACAGTTCGCCATGCAAATCTTTCAGGTGAGAAAACAAACTCTTAATAGTTGAATATTTAAATAAACAAAATTCCACATGTGTGTGTGTGTGTGTGTACGCAGCACATTCCCTTTCTGAACAAGCATTTTGGCACTGTGGATCAGATATTGGCGGAATGGAAAAATTATAAACTATCCGTGCCGACATATGGCGCTATACTTGTATCGGAGGATCTCAATCACTGTCTGCTGGTGCAATCATATTTTGCTCGAAACTCTTGGGGCTTTCCCAAGGGAAAAATTAATGAGAACGAGGATCCCGCACACTGTGCCACCAGGGAGGTATGTAGCAAGCTCTAATTACATTTGTTTCAACTGACACTTGATCGGTAAATGAATACCCCGTAAATATGAGCATCAAGTATACATTTCCTATCACAATAATTGAACAGACGAATCGATATGGTATATATGACCATGTCTGTCTGGCTGTTGTTGGCTTTAAAACTATCTTGCCTTATCGTTGCATATATTTGTTTTTATGCAGTAGACAGAGCGTGAAGTCAATGTATCATAGTTTCTTGATTTTGAATGCAAATTAACTGAAAATTGTATTTATCCATCTGCTTTAGGTCTATGAGGAGACGGGCTTTGACATAACGGACATCATAGATGCAGATGATTATATTGAGGCTTATATTAATTATCAATATACACGATTGTATATAGTGCGCAATATACCGTTGGATACGCAATTTGCACCACGTACGCGTAATGAGATTAAGTGTTGTGACTGGTTCCGCATTGATGCATTGCCGGTCAATAAAAACGATGCCATATCGAAAGCCAAACTGGGCAAAAACTCAAATTCCTTCTTTATGATCATACCGTTTGTGAAGCGCCTCAAGAAGTGGGTGAACGATCGACGCGCCGGCATAGAACCAACAACGCGTCGGCGCAAATGCTCCGGACAGCAGAGCCCCAAGGCCATTCAAAATGGCGGAACATCCGCATCGCCCACAATGGTGACGAACAACAGCAACAACAACAACAGTAGCTGCAAGATGGATCAGCAACGTGACTCCTCGCGGCGTCAGCGGCACAAATCGATGGGCGATTTGGATGGTGTTAAACTAAATAATCTCAATGGCAAGGCGGGAGGAGGAGGCGGTCTTACTGCCAGCAACATATGCAATAGCAATATCAAGCGTAATAGCAATAACAATAGCAATAGCAGCAGCAACAACAACAACAACAACAACAACAACGGCAACAACAACAACAGCATCAACAACAGCAACAACAACAATAATAACAAGCAACTAAATTTGGCTGCGGGCAGCAATACACCAACAACAGCAACAACAACGCCAGTGACAACAGCAGCTGCAGCAGCAGCAACAACACCAGCAACCGTTGCAACGGCAACAAGCAAACGCCAATTGTTTCATAGCCAAAGCCAAAATGATGCCCAACAGTCGGTAAGCAATGAGAAGGTAAGCAATGCTAAGATTGCAGCGAATGCGCTCAAAGCTAAACCGAAGCAATTGCAGATTGTCAGCTCCTTTGATTTGATACGCAAGGAAAAGCAGCAGCAACTGAAGGCGGCCAAGGCTCAAAAGCAACAGCAGCAACAGCAACAACAGCAGCAGCAGCAACGTTCTCATACTAAATCGCAAAGTGATAAGCAAAGCAATCAGCAGCAGCCGCTGGTAGTAAAAAGCATTTTGAACAGAAACAGCACACAACAACAACAACAACAGCAGCAACAACACCAACAAACAACGCATGCCACAACAGGCATGGATTTGATTGCCATGCTGACAGCAGCAGCCGCAGCGCAAAAGACACCAAAACCGGAGCAACAGCAACAGCCACAACGTCCACGTCCAGCTTCGGTGTCGCTCAATTCGCCAATAACAACAGTTGCTGACGCAGCCAACAACAGCAGCACAATGCCAGATGCTCAAACATTGCACAAGCTGCAGCGCATGGCATCCGGCACCAATTTGCGAATATTAAAGCGTGCGCAATCGCAGCAGCCGCAGCTGCAACTACAACTGCAGCAGCAGCAGCAGCAGCAGCAACAACAACAGCAACAACAACAGCAGCAGCAGCAGCTCCAACTGCAGCAACAACAAGGGCCTCTAAACTTTACGCCCAGTTTCAATTCGTGGACGAATTTCTCATTCACCAAAAATTTTATAGCAAATGTTTTTTGCTAAGTCAATTTCTATGACTTTTCCTTCTTAAATTCTCAAACATTTTGCATTTTCCAAGTTACAAGGCCAGTTTGTAGGCAGCATTCACAAAAAAACAATAATCGTTACATATATAAAGTTTTAGGTGTTTCCCATGGATCTCTCAGAAAGAGTCTTCTAGACTTTTGGAAAGATGCATTTTTCAGCAACAGCAACATTTTTCAACATTCATATGTATATAGCAAGCAAGGACTGTATAAAATTTTGTAATTAACATACACATACACATACACATACACATTTTCATACCAAAAATCGAAAAACCAAGGAAAAAGTAAAACGTGAGTCTTCCGCTCCAGCACACGTCATTTTATAAAAATTGTCAGGCAAAATTTTTATATACACAAAAAGCAAGAAGCAAAGCATGGTAAAGAAAAGCGAGTTATGAAAAGTTGTGCAATTAGAACGCAGCCAACACTTTTTAAGTACAATACGGTACAATTATATGAATAATTATGTTAATATATTGGTTTTTATTTTTTATAAGCGATAAAGTGAGCGAAGAGAACATCCTTCTAATTAGAGTTCCAGCCAAGTCGTGTGCGTGTATTTTTTTAGAGTAAAGTGAAAAGAATTAGGAGAGAATGATAAACAGATGAAGAGGAGAGAGTAGAAAGAAAACAAAAAAGGATAGGTAAGAGAAGAAAGCGTAGCTTTAAATGCCCAACGTTCTGTTTTAGGCTTTGTTTTCTATACTTTTCTTAAGTATATATTCGTTCTTTGCGCCTAAGCGCAATGAACCCTTTTATACAATAACAACAACAACAACAACAACAAAAAACGTGGCAAAGAGGCAAACAACTAAAATGCAACAATTTGCATGACTTTTTGGGTCGTTTTAACTACCCCGCCCCAAACACCACCACCTATAAGATACAATGCGTTGAGCATAAATACTTATAATAACGAGTGTAAATATTTAATTGTGATATAGTATTTCTTAGCACAATTGTGATCTTAACAAAACGGCTAGCTACTACGACTACTACAACTAATATTACATAAATACAAGTACATACGCATACACCTACGTACAAAAACGTACCGAACAAGTTTTTTATAAGAAATTTTAATATAATTCAAATGATGCTACAATCGAAAAACTTTCCATTGCCCCGACACACACACATACACAAAGAACATACATACATATATATACACACACACAAACACACACACACTCATACACCTAAAACTATAATTAGAGAGGCAGCCAGCAGGGGATAGAAACCCTACAATTAACTGGGGGCAATATCAGGTAGGCATATCCAAAAGCAAAATATATAAGATACAACAAATTTTGAGAACTTGTGACAACTCTGATAAATTTAACGAATTTAACAAATTAGTTTAAAATATTTGAAGCTGAAAATTATCTTTAAAATTGTTTAAGCAATGCTGCCCATAAACTGGCCTTAAAACTGATCTTTCAAAACTTCTACGATTTCATCTAATTTTATGATTGACTTTTAAAGCTTTTTGAAAAGCCATATTAATTTTGTATTTTGTAAAACCAATCTTTAGTTTCTTTTTATCTTTCCAAATTTAATTTTTTTATTTTTTTGATTTCTTTTTCTATAATTTCAACAAATGAACTGCAACTAAAAAAAAGCTGTTCGAAGCGCTTAGCAAATATACAATGAAATTGGCAATAACTACCATATTTTGTTTTTCACATCAAATGTTCTTTTGTTAACATTCTTACAATTTCATTGTGCATTTGTTTTGCGCCAACAAAGAAACGAAACAAAAACAAGAAAAAATCTTTTCCAAATCAACAACCACAACAAATTGCAATGAATATCAACTAATAAACAATAGCAACAGTAACATTCTTCAATTAAAACCAAATTTATTCAAAAACAAATTGAAATGAATTAAATCTTAAATTGTAACAAGTAACAACAGTAGAAAAATAATATTTTATGTTCTGTAATGTGCAACACCGAAAGCAAAAGCTTTTACAAATACTACGAGTATATCTTCCTACATTTACATATAGTTTCTGTTTCAAAAATCAATAGACATAACAAATACTTAACTTTAGTGAACGGGCTGCTGGACAAACAGATAAAACCCATTTAAAACAAGAAAAATCCAACCACAAACCGAAAACATTTAAGTTTATATTTAAGAGAAACAATCCGAAAATACTTGGGCGAACGATTTTGAAACTCTTTATAATACTCGTAGTATATATGTGTCTACAAAACATCTAAAATCAAATATAGTTTCCACTCAACAAGCTCTACACTTGCCGTAGACTAGACCCAAAATTCATTTTTAAACGTACCGCCCAAGTATTCAACGAAACGGTAAATAAGATACCTTTGCTATGCATTTGATCAGTTTCTACTGTAAAACGTCCAAAAACAAAAAGTAAATATCAAAAAAATGGCAATTTGTAGACTTTGAACTCGAACTTAAAACCGAACCAAACTAAGAATACTTAACGCCCATTTCATTCAATTAAGAATCAAGAATAACAATACAAATTACTCGTATAATAGTCGATTTCCCCCAATTTTTTTTTTCTGATTTCTGTGTGCAACCAACGATAGCAATATTTTCCAAATTCTGGCAATAAAAACTGTATTACATTTTTAATTTGTACTTCCGAGAAACCGAAAGAAATGTGTGTTTTATTTTTTGCCCGGTGTGTAAAGGAGGAAAAACGTTTTTATAATTATTATTTAAATTTGTGTTTCTGCAGCTGCTCAGTTTTATTTTGTGGCTGAGACATATATAGAAATCTCTCTTAAGCGGACAAGTACAGAAAAGCTTACATCATTTATAATTATACTAATTTGGCTCAGCTTGTCCTGCTGTCATTTTATATTCAAGTTAAACTTTAGTTTAGCAAGCTGTTGGTTAAGATAACTAACACCGTATACATATAGCTTTTGTTATTGCATGTTGAGGCTTAAAAACTGTCTTCGTCCATGTGAACTGTTCGCCGATGGCGCGACATGTTTGATTTATAGCTAAAATGCTTGCCGCAAATCTCACATGAGTAGATCCTCAGGTGCGAGCGCTCGTGCGCCAATAGCTGGTAACGGCAAGCAAATCGTTTTTCGCACCTGTCAAAACTGCAGGAAAACTGCTTCAGTATTTCCGCATTAGGACTCTTTTTACTATTTAGATGCATTTTAATGTGTTGATTATAGGCAATTTGAAATTTGAATGTATAGCCGCATTCGCTGCACTGAAATTCCTCATTTCGGTCGCGATGCACCTGGTTTTCATGATTCACCATGCTGGAGTAACGATCGAATAGGCAACCACACTCCTGGCAACGAAACTCAACTGAGTTCTCATCTGTCAAGTCTGTGGGTTCCCTTTCATGTCGCATGACATGCTCGTGCTGCTGCAGTAGGCTGGCGCTATCGAAGCTAACGCCGCACTTGCGGCACACATAGTATCGCAGGCTGTGGCTCATGTTACTGTGCGTCTGCAATTTGGTGGTGCTGCTGAACACTGTGCTGCAGTAATAGCAAATCAGTTCAGGGCACAGTCCCTCATTTCGGATCGCTTTGGCCAGAACTATGCCATCACCTGCAATGGCAATGGCGAAGTTGTTGTCAACTGGCGGCTCCTCCGCCCAATCTGAATTTTCATCCATTACATCCGGACATAGCTGCGCGTCGAGCTTTTCGTAATCTTCATCGCCATCGATTAGCTCCAGTTCCGCACTCACATCCTCAATATCAGATTCCAGATCGCTTCCACTGTTCTCATCGTGCAATTCCGTTGTTTTAATCGCAAGCGGCTGTGAAAGATTTCCGCTGTTCTCTTGGTTTTGTTGTGCGTTGCGCCAGAATCGTAATGTATCGCATATGCTGAGCACTTCAGCCATGCAGGAGTCGCATACACAGGTGCCCAACTCCTGGACCTCAGCCTAGGATCAGTCGTAATGGTTATCTTAAGCATTGCTCAGATTCAACAAATAAATAGTTCTAACCTGGATTTCAAACGTTGTTAACAGTTGCTGCAGTACCTCTTTTGCATATTTGAACTCGTCCAAGTGCTCTGTACTAACAGCAACATTTTGCACACATAACTTACAGAGGTCCATGAATGGTATATCTTTAAGAATTTAATAACAAAATATAAACAAAACAAATTCCAGCGCAGCACAAATTGATGAGCAACTTTATTAACTTGGGGAGTAATGCTGTTAAGAAAGCAGAATTCTGTTAATGTAAACAGTGTGGCAACGCCAGAAAGCAAAAATCGATTGTTCAGTGTTATCGGTATTATTCTGCATTTCTTTCTATTCTGCGTTTTTTCGTCGGTGTAAAGTGCATAAAATTGTTACATTTGCCCTGTAATAATATAGTTTAAGTTCAAATAGTTGCCTAACAAAATGGTACGTACATCGTGTATGCACCGTCTGTGCAAATTCTCTGAAAAACTATATGTTTTTACTTAAACGCGGCACTCGTTTTTTGGTGACGTGAATTATGCATGTGCGTGTGCTTGTGTATAGAATCCAAAAGCGGCCGCGTCACAAATTATATGGCTGATATTATAATGCAGCCGCACTTCGATTTTCCAAACATAAAACATCTTAATAATGCGTATTGCAATTGTTTCTCCATGTGCAGTCGTTTGCGGAAAAGTTAACGGGACTGATGGCGCGGCCAAATCAACAAGATCCAGCTGGCGGTCCAGAGCAGCCTTGGTATCTCAAATATGGCAGTCGTGTGCTGGGTATCGTTGCCGCATTCTGTAAGTACCAAATCATATTTGTCAACCAGCAGCAACAACAACAAGAACATTCGATTTAGCTATTTGCATCGATTTTTATGTTCTGCATGTAACATTTTGTTGTAACACTGCTTATCTACTTGCTGGTGTGTGTATCAGTGTGTGTATGTGTACTTAACCACCCACAATACTCACAGCACGCACACTCGGTCGTTCGCTCGCTCTGCGACCTGACATTGATAAAGCCAAAAAGCACAACAACAACAATAAGAAAATGCTACAAAGGATACAGAAATGTTTCTATGTGTGTGTGTGTTTGTGTGTATGCTCCACACATATGACAGGGCAGCATATTATATTTCTCTGTCGCTTTCTATGTCAAGTTTGTTGTGCTAAGTGCATTTTCAATTTTCTTCAATGCATTTCGATTTAGTCATTAAATTGCCATCAATTTTGCATGCATTTAGTAATATTTTTATCAGTAATTAATTGGCACTCTCTCTGTGTTAGTTTACTCTCTCTCTCTCTCTTTCCTTCTCTTTGTTTTCTGTTGTTATGCATATATTCCATTGTTCTTCATTTCCGCAGTTGCGATGACATTGAACCCGTTGTCTGATGGTTTTCCCTTACAGTTTAACGCGATTTTCAGCACACAATTTTATTTCACCCGCATAAAACCCGCTTAAAGTTCAATGACACGAAGACTATAGCAACTATTTCTAGCATCAAATGGAGCTTAGTCGTAATTAGTTGGAAATCAGCTGGCGCTGAATCATATGCCAAATGTTTCATAACAACTAAACCTGTGAGCAATAAATAGTAAATTAATTGAAAACAATCAGTGTTCTAGCCCAAAATGTCCGACTATAAAATACCCTGTAACGATTTAGATTCCAGAAAAACATTTGATAACTTCCATTCCATATTTTCCGCAATTTGACTGTTATAGTCTGAGATAAATGCGATCAGGCGAAAATACGAACATGGCTAGATCTATTCGGTTGTTCGATAATATACATACCTATTGATTGGGCGATGTCTTCTGCCTGTACCTGTACACATTTATCTGCATCAGGTTTTCATTTTACCTAGTTTCATTGGGTACAGGGTATGCGAAACAGCTAACAGACGGTCTACCTCTTAGAGAAGAGTATTTACATTTTTTTTAAAGAAAATTCAGTAGTGCGGCTTCCTTAAACCGGTTATATATTAAAAAAAAAAGCTGTGCTTTTTTAATTAATACTTATACCTTTTATTAATAGCCGCTCGACAGAGCACAGCGGCTTTGTACATGAGTTTATTTAATTCTGCACCGCAATAACCTCAAAAATTGAGATCAGCTTACAAAAGAAACTGGCTCGCTTTTAGATTTGTGTCTGGTAAACTATAAAATACTCTTAGAAATTATGATGAGAGCGTATAGCGGCTATATAAATGCAATTGCCAGAGTCTGACACTGATCTTCCGCTGAAACTTAGAAACTTGCTCAATTAGCACATTCAGTTATTTGTTTACGTAGTCGCCAAAGTGTTATCATTTGCGTCCAAGATTATTTTGTTGCCTGATAAACGCAAAGCAGCTGATAAAATATTTAAATGTAGAATGCGTACAAATGTTATTAAGATATAAGGCTTACAGCCTCCTATTTGAGTTTTATTTATAAATTGTACTGTATGCTTTCATTTCCTTACAACCAAAGCAGCCGCACAAGCTACAGCATTCATTTAACTTTTCTGTATAGATCATCAGTTTATAGAACTCACACAACAGATGTTTATTCTCCATTCATTTACCAGATACCGCAGCGACCAATGTTCCAATTTGAACAAGTGTTTTTGCTTGTTTTGTTACGCTTCTCTGCTCTCTTTATTATTTATTTTATTTTTATTAACTTTATAGAAATTTAGCAGTTGAATGAGTCAGTTCTTCTTTCTTTTTTTTTGATTAGATTACGCTTGAAATGTTATACTATATACTATTTGTCGCGAAACCTGAGAGATAATGAGGCCAAATGTTGGAGGCGTTGTTGATGGCAATTAAAATTTTGGGCAGATTCTGCTTTAAACAGCATAAAGCTAGATAAATGAAATGTCTTTGTTCGGATGTGTATGTTGCGAGACTCAAACGCCCTTATTTTTCGGAATTTTATCTAGCTATAAAACGCTTAACTTTGTTGTATCTAATTTGCTTAGGACTTATGATAAAATATCTAGCTTTGTGCACTAACAGCAAATGTGACATGAATCCAATTTAAGTAGATAACATGCATATAGACATTTAAATAGTTTAGTTGGAGCTTCATAATGTGTGTATGGAAATGTTGATAAATATTATTTCTTATTTCACATGTTTTCTAAGTCTCATTGAATCTTTATTAACCGCAGAATCGTTAAATATATTCTTACATATATTTTCTGTTTTCTCTAGTTGCCATACTCTTCGGCCTGTGGAATGTGCTCTCAATAATTGGATTGAGCGTCTCATGCCTTGTCGCGGGCATCATACAAATGCTAGCAGGATTTGTGGTGATGGCGCTGGAAGCGCCTTGTTGCTTTATTTGTATCGAGAAGGTCGGCTCGGTGGCGGATATGATGGACACCAAGCCCTTGTACTTCCGAGCGGGCCTGTACTGCGCGTGAGTAACATATGCAATAAACTAGACCATAAAGTAGCTTCTAATTATTTGATCTTATCCTCACAGCATGGCGGTGCCGCCAATATTTATGTGCTTCGGCCTGGCGAGTCTCTTTGGCAGCGGCCTGATCTTTGCCACCGGCGCTGTCTACGGCATGATGGCGTTAGGCAAAAAGTGAGTAATTCTTGGAATCATTCGTGGGCATTGACCCATACAACCAATTAGTTAGATAGTTAGCTGTTAGTCTGAAATGGAGCAGAGAACTAATACGGAAGGCACAAAATGCTAATCAAAATAATGTTCTCTCTATTCCTTGAACCGCTTGCACTGTGATTACGCTTACAATTAAAACTAATGATATCTAACTTAAAAAAAAAAACAATAACAACATTTATTATCTAACACAATGATAAATAAAAATAAAACAAAACAACAACAACACGAATAATAACTCAAAAGAGCTTCGCGCGAGGACATGGCCGCTGCGGCCACATCGCCCACACAAATGGCCGGCGGCCAGGCAGGCGGCCAAATGCAAATGGGCGGCGATCAACATATCACACTCATGGAAGATCCCGATGTTTGGCGTCCAACATAAATGCGCTAACCAAATGCATAAACTGCCAAAAACAAAGCATATGATAAACAATTAAACACAAACAAACACACCTAAACACCCAACACACACATCACACAATTAGACAAGGAAAGAAATATCATAATGAAATATTGAGTAACAAATATTTTACGATGCATAGTTTTTAGTGTTCGTTCCAATTAAAGTTAATATATATAATGATTAAAACGTTGTAGGGCCGCGCAGAGATCATAATACACAACATTGAATACAGAATACAGAATTACAAAACACCCCACCAATTGAAAAAGATAGAAACTTTTCATAATTGTTACGAAACGAAGAAAAAACCAAAAAAATAATGTTGACAAAATGTTACGCAAATGCATTTTCTCCATTTTAAGTCATTTGTCGTCCTTTGCATGTAGTTGCATTTTTCCATTTTTAAATGTCCTTTGTCGCACGAGGTGTTTTTGAAAAGTACAGTTAAATATACAAATATATAAATATAATATATATTAATATTAATAATACATGTACAATTTATTTTTAGTGAGAAATTATATTGATAACAAAAAAACACGCTAAATATTGCTATCGAGCAACAGCTTCCACACGGCTAAAGTACACAAATTACCTGCAACATAAAAAATAGTCAAGAATCGTAGAGCAATAAATACAACTCAGAGAGCATTAACTTAATATACTTGATTGCTTGAGCATAATACCAATTTAAATGTTAAAATGTTAAACGAGATAAACAAACGTTTCTTTGTTCATTTGATCACGAGATAATGTAACAAATATCAAATGTAGAAATCCAATATGCAGAATTGTTCATAATTTTTTGTTCTTATTTTTGTGATTGTAATTAAGTATGAGATATGCATCTTATAAATTCAAGAGGTTGTACCTTTACTGTATTCAGCTATAGATTCTTTTGCTAAGTAAAAAAAATGTACAATGAATTTGTAACGATTCAAAATGTCTACTGTTTGTTCGGCTATGGCCTTTTTTCTCTCAGACATTCGCAAAAAACATTCCAATATTCTTTTTGTTATTTATATAACAAGTTTGATGATATATATGTATATTTGGATATAGCCTTTAGTACTTCCAGACTTCAGTCTGCCAATTAATATTCATATATTTATACTCAGCTGTTGTATGATAAATTATTTATCAGATATCAACATATTACTAAATATCGTGGGCTAAGAAGCACTCACAGAGTTCTGAATTTATAACTTGTTTATTTATATATAATCAAAAACATATTGTTTAATCACCTAAAAAATACTCGCAAACAAAGCGTAAGCAACCTAATGGATCCATATTGGCATCCAATGTGGCTTTCTTTATATAAATGCATACTCTCTGATTACTTGTTACAAATCACTTTCTCGCAAGCAGCCTGAACAGAGTCCTAGCTTAATATACCTTATATATAGTTAAAATTAGTTAATTAATTAATTATGCATAACGAACGCAACACTAAAAATCATTCAAGTAAAATATTCTGTTTAAAACTAAATTTATATAACATATGTACATTATGCCAAAGAATTGTACATGCCAAACTGCCCCAGAACAGTCCAGTTAATGCCAATTTGCAGCCTGCAGCAAGTCAACTACATAAACTTCAACAACAACAGCAAGAAGTACGCTAATGTCAAGGCAATTCATTTTTGTATAAGCAATTCTCTTAAGTATTTCGAACGATTGTAGTTTAGAAATTTTTTAATCACTTCTATTTTCAAACTTAAAGTTCTTTCTAATTTGCACTTGCTTTTTAATAAGTATTTATATAATTTGGTAGTCCCTTTATATAAATATATATATATATATATTTTTTTTTGGTAGCTTATAGCTGACGACTCACGTAATCGACTACGGATTTTTAAAGTTTCAGTTTGTTATCTGCTTTTTATTTTACTACAATCGACGGTTCATTGTGGCTGGAAGTGTTGTTAGCTTCTTATATTTATAAATTTATGCCTATATATTTGGGTTTTCGATTTCCTTGTTTGATTTATAGTTTGTTTTTTACTCTTTCTCTATTGTATTTATATTTTTGCAGTTTGCATGGGCCTTTCCACGTTTATTCTGCTTATATAGGGATATGAGCTTTTTAGTTGACATAGCTATAGGTTATAATGTTGTGACCTATTATTTAAATATTTCAAATTTTATTTTCATGTCTTGGTATTCTTCTCGATAGATATTTTTTCTTTTTCTGGTCGATAATTAAACGGTTTTTTTGTCCTAAACCCATTCTAGTTTATTCTTAGACATTTTTATTTGGCAGCATTTGACTTTATTGGCTTTTTCTTCTCTTACTTTGCTTAGTCTGTATGCACACTTCCTTCTTTCCCGCTTTCGCTCTGACTAAATCATTCACTTATAAATAAATCACTAAACAAAATCAAACGCTGTAAGCCTTACATCAATTTATGAGAATCGCATAGAACGATGGTATTTAAAGGGGAGAGCTAGAGGAGAAACTATTTGTTTCTCTCTAGGTCTCTTTTTGAAATACGCGTATGCTATTTTCAAGAAATCTACTAACCCTTACATGGTTTTTTGAGTTAGCGATTTGTTTATTAAAAAGTGAGTGGCTTGATGAAAGATTAATTCAAAGGTTAAGAGTGCGAGTGGGAGATGAGGAAACTTGTAGCAGGAAGAGTGTTTATATAGGTGTATGTGAATAAAATATGAGTTAATGCGAATGTGTGTTAAAGCAATGCAGACTTGGGTATAGGGGTTTTTCCTAGTCGAACACTCTCGATTAGAGCACTCGCACTTGTTTAACGTTAACCAACATAGTTGTTTAATAGTTGGCCTACGCATAGCAATACTCCACAGTTCCTCAGACACACATTCTTATTAACTTTCTATTTATTTAACAGACTTTCCAGTATTATGTTGTATTATCTTGTGTTAAGTTTTCGCAGGCTTGATGTGGTAGATATGCCATGTCGTTACTTTTGTACTTTTGTCTAAATATTCGCTTTCCTAACTCATCGTAGAGCCTCCGCCGCCGAAATGCGCGCCGCGGCACAGCAAACATCATACGGTGGCAATGCGGCGCCAACAACCAACGATCGGGCGGGCATTGTGAATAATGCGCAGCCCTTCTCCTTCACCGGTGCCGTGGGCACGGACAGCAATGTGTGATGAAATCGGTAATGGAACATATGGATCGTGGCTGGGGTGTGCGGTGAGAAAACAAGACTCAAAACGCAACGCAACGCAACGCATTAAAGGCAAACTATAACATACAACAAACAACAACAACAAAAAAAAAAGAAGCAAAGTAAAGCAACATCACAAGGCAAATTTCTAACTAACGTGTGCAATTTATTGTTGGCGATCAATTTCCAACCGGACCCTAAATATAATGGATCTCTCTCGGTGTAGAGCTGAAGACAATGTTTATAAAACTGAGCAGATAATGGAAACCTCAAAGAACCTCTTCAAATAAACCGTCTAATCATTGATTAAAGTTTTTGTATTAAATGTTTTGGCGTTTTCTGTTTTATATTTCTAATTGTTGCCTGTGTATCATTCCAATTCCAATTTTTGGTTTTAAAGTTAAAACAAAAAAAAACAAAAACTTATTTAAAATTTAGTAAAAATGAAACTATAATTGACCATATTTAAATTAAATTATTGAGCGATGGCATAATTTGTATGCAATTTATGTTTAGTCATAGTTTAAATATACATATAATATATTTAAATGCATAATACAAATAAATATAAATATAAATATAAATAATTAAATGTTTGTAAACCATATTAAAATTGAATTATGCGTACTTTAAATTATGTTAAATAAAATTAATTATACATACATTCAGCTTTTTTGCGCTCTTTATAAACTTTATTGCCACTTAATTGTTGTTCAATAATTTACAAATATTTAATGTTAAAATCCACATTCTATTGCATTTGTGGTTTGTGAAACAATTTTAAAATAAGCATAACAGTTAACGAAAACATTTAAAAATATTTGTATGTAATATGATTTATGCATCATCCTGTGAGCTGTCGTTGCCGGACTGATCAGCAATTTCTTCCAATACAATCTCATCATCATCATCTGTATCATCATCTTGTGCCGCATCATCGTCATCGTCATCTTCATCAGCTTCAATATCTGCACCGTCTTCCTCGTCAGCCTCCTCCTGCTGATCGTTGGATCCTTCCCAGCGGAAACGACGGTCGCTGATTTTCTCCTCGCTGCTTTCGGCAGACACCGCAATGATCACAGCAAAGAGCGCTACATGTAGAGCATAGGCATTTGAGGATTGTTTGTAGATGATAAAAGAATTGTTTAACTTACCAAAGCTCATGATTAGGAACTTGTTGGATAGCATGTTAAATGAGTTGATTTCTTAGAAATTTTCAATGCTATCTGTTGCGTAGGCTGCCCCTTTTATAGTAAAATTTTGGCATGCGCTTTTAGCCAAAATTTGCTGTGCCTGGCGCTAAAAACTATTTGGTTTTAAGCAGCTGTACAAATATTAATATTTTATCTAAATTTATGTCATAGTTATTGGGTCAGCGTTTCACAGTTTGCTTATGTTAAAACTCATTGACATTAATGCTTAATTGTAATTAAGTTAAATTAATGAGCTGTTGAGTGCAAAAGTTTTCTTTTTCTATGCGAGTGGAATTTTCCATGTCCCCGTCCCCGTCACATAAGCTTAACAAATTCAGCTTCCCTCTTACGATTTGGGGTTTGTATTGATCGACAGATTCCTAAATAGTTTTATCCCGCAAGGAACAATTTGATAATGCATTTTCTCTGCTCACGTTATCCTGACTGTAATATCGTAATATCTATCTCAACGGATCGTATTACAAAAGTACAAAATATCTCTTATTCTATGTATTTAATACTATTTTAATACTACGAATCTGCAAGTGAAATTCTGTTTTTTATTTATAAATTCAAAAATTAACGGCTTTTTGACAACCGCTGGCTGCCGAGATTTTTCTTAAAAGCAGTCAAAAAAGGCGAACAGGGGCTTTATAGCCATTTATAGCCGTTTTTTGCGGTTTTTAGCAGAATTTTAGAAGTTAGTACTGCATACTTTCGTGCTGTCTACATAATACGTTGAAATTAAAATTAAAATTGAAATATCTCGGGTACCATATGTCCGATATCGGAGATATATACCCCTTTCTTCTCGTACGGATCCCGACTATCGATTGACACCAAAAAATCTGAATTCTAAGAAATGGCCCAATTTGAGAAAAACTACTATGTTTTTTGCAAAAATTCCGATGTTGGCTGAAAATGGCCGTGACAACGAGTCGAACGAGACCAATCTTTCCAAGATCGGGGCTCATTTGGCCGAGATACAGCGATTTAAAAAACGCGAAAAAATGCCGTTATAATTTTGAAGATTTGTCGTTTTTTTTCGATAATTCGGCTAAAAATGGTCCGATTTTGGAAAGTTATACCTTTTTGAACTCGTACTGAAATCGGGAATCGACTTGCATACCACATTTTTTGAAAATTTTGAAATTTGAAAAAAACAGGCAGACGAACTAAAATCAAAAATTTCATTGCATACTCAAACGGAGCGGTGGAGCAGCTGGTGGACTGCTTTAAACTAGATTTCGATACTATCGAGGATTAACTAAAAATTCTACTTTATTTGCTTCGCCTAAAATATGTCCATAATAAATTGGCGAATATGTGAATCCCATGGTAATCCGGAGGGGGAGGTGTAATTTTCGTTGTTGGTGTTACAACAAAAACTTTGTGGGCGTATTAACTATATCCTGTTGTATGTACACTTGTGTAAATTCTTCGCTCTTATCCTAATTAGTCTCCTCACAGGCATCAATCCAGTCGTTATAGACGTCGACTGGTTCCGATAGGGATATGATTGTCGTTTGATAGGATTCCTGACAGACGCGACATATAATGCGACCTACCTTCCTTAATTTGTCCCTAATTAAGCAGATAGATAGATCATTAGATAAAGGATTTTGGCCGTGTCGCTCGGTTGAAACTTACAGAATGACATCGCAGGAACGCTCGTGATTACAAAAAGGACAATTAAACTGTTTTTCCAGACTCTGGATGTTTTTACGCTTTGGCGGCGGCTTGCGCTTAGACTTGCGACGTCCCATGCTTAATTCTCAGTAATCTAACGGAGAAACTGGGGAAAATAACACATTTTTTGGGAAAATACGTACAAAATAGAGTAAAAACTTACAATACTTGGCCTTGTCCGTTGTTCCTTGGCTCACGTTCAGCTGAGAACTAAATTTTTGGTAAATTCTCTCATATTGCTAAGGGGCTTTATTTTGTTTTTCAGTGACAGAAATATCAAGGAGTGCTTTGATTTTCATTTTTTATTCAAGAAATACCATTAAAAATTTGAGACTGATATTTCTACGCTTACTTCTCTTTACAGCCTTGTAGAGAATATTCTTAAGTAACAATAATTTCAAGGCGGGCTTTGTCTTTTTTATTAAAGAAAGAAATTTGCTTTAAATTTTGTATTTCAGAATAATATACAATTTTTAAGATACTGCCTCGTTGTAGGGAATACTAAGTGACAGAAATGTCAAGGTATACACATTTTGAATTTTCTTTTAAAGAAAAAATAGTATTGTTTTTCCTTCATCCTTTTTAAACTCTTGTGGGTTTTTTAATTTAAAATGTGTCGCACATGGGAACATATATATTTCTGATCAGTATAAACAGGCGATATATATATATGTATATGTATATATCTGCCATAAGAATTATCGGACGCAAAGTAGGTTGTTGTACCGCAAAATATTCTGTTCTCCAATTTTTTAATTTTAATCAAGTATCTGCAAAAGTCAAATGTCTACAAGGGTATTAAATCTTCGGCGTGCCGAGGATACCTTACTTTTTCTCTTGCAAGTCAAATGTTAACCGAATTTCTTGTGCGATATACCCACTTATTCAGCTACGAGGAGCCTCCCTCTATTACGAATTTGTTTGATATTGAAACCACACGTAAACTCAATTGATTGTGCCCACATCTGTTAAGGGTCTCGGCAGATGCCTCTTATCTAATGCTTTTGTTTGGGTTTGGGTTTTGCTTTTTATTTTATTTTATTCAATGTAGCATAAAATCGCTGGTTCATTGTGAAAGATACTTACCGATCTCGTGAAGGTATCGATTACAGGCCGCGCAATTTGGTTGAGGGACAAGGATATGTTTAGATCTCTGTTGATATCGTTGCATGTGGGTCAAGTGTTTGAGTTTGGATGCAGGACTCATGGATCGCTGGCGAAGGCTTTCCCACAGTTGCATTTGAAGCCAGCGAATGCCGATATTTTTCTGGCTAAAGCGCCGTAGAATTGAACAAAACACTCAAACTCTGACGACAGCTCAATACACAGCACGACTTTCAGACAACCTGCTGTTTAACATATTAGCACCAGGACATCCCAGGGCAACGGGTGGTGTTTCACAGGACAGCTGAAAGTGTCAACAGTCGGCGGCGGCAAAGGCAACGGCAAAGCAAAAAGTGAGCTGTAAACTGTTTGTGCCTGGCGTGAAATTGCTAACAAAATAGTTTGCCAAAAAGTTGACACTGGCAGCAGGCGGCAGCCAGGACGCAATGGAAGAATTTCAGTGCACAACAGGATATATTGGATATGCAGCTGTGCAGCACATTTATTGCATTCGCCACGCTTTTCAAGGCAAAAAACAAAAATAACGCAACGATTTCAATTTATTCGCTAAATGGGTTTAAAATTTCATCAGGCTAGTTGATCGAGCTGCTTCCTGGCCAGCCTAAGACGCTGCTTCCGCCTTCCGTCTTTCATCAATTTCAGCCTTCTTTTGTTGGTCTTTCGGGCAGCATCATTCCTATTAATCTCCTGCCCAGCATTTTTGCCAGCTGCTGCTGCTTCTGCTGCCGTTGGCCATTTGCCTTTTGTGGTTCCTCGGCCAGTTGACCAGTTGCCGTTGGCCAAGTGCTCGCTTGGCTTTTGTTTGGCCTACTTCAATGCCCTGCCGACGCGTCCTTAAATGCAGTCGATGCTCCTTTTTTTTCTTTTCCTTTTTTTTTTGCTACGTTCTTGTTACTTTTCTGCTCCTTTGTGTGTTCATTTGCTTAAATGCATCTTATCCTGTTAAAGTGTGCGCCTTCTGTTCAGTGTCCCTTCGCAGAAAATTGATCTTTTTTGCAAATTTCCTGCAGTAGCCCGGTTTTTGTCTTCGTTAACGTGCTTTCGAGCGCGTCTTAATTGAGTATTTCTTCCTTCATTGCTGCAGATAATGTTACTGTAATGCAAGACCTAAGTTCCGCTTGCTTTTCAGCGATTGTTCATTTCTTTTAATGCTCTAAAAGGACTTAGAATTTTCAAACATGTTTGCCCAATTAAATGAAAAACCTTTGTTAGATTAGACACAAAGCTATTAAATGAATAACCAAGCACGTTGAAATTGTTTCGTTTTTTTATGGCTAATAACTTTTTACTAGCAGTTTTATTTTATTGAATACCCCTATTTATCAATAATAAAACTCAACAGTTATTTGATAATTGTAAGCTCCATATAAACACCATTAATAAAAAAAAATAGCTAAAACTCTATTAACAATACCCAATCTCATAAAGAGGCCACACCTGAGGGATTTCTCCACCCAAAAGACAGAAAAAAAGCTTTTCAAACATAAAAACTGTTGTTCTTTCTGCCCAATTAGTTGTTTTAAATACCATAAAATTATTATGTTGAATATTTTTGTGGGCTGATTGGATTTTTATATTCAATGCCCATATCGTGCTGCCCCGCTGCCCCTCCGCCCCTCTGCCCCGCACTCAAATTTGAGTGCAAAGCAATATTTCATCAAAAATGCGATGCGCCAAGGCGCCCAAAACATAATTATTAATTAAAATTCCCAAATCAAAATCAAATTACCACTAAAAAAGAAAGATGCATAAATTTTTGTAAAATGACAACCATACACACAACACACACACAGCACACACACAAAGCACACTCAGCTGCAGTCTGCCGGGGTTGGGGAATGGGACGCCTGTCGCCAGCGTCTTCCGCTTTGCCTTGGAGCAACTTCCAAGAATTTTGAAACTGGAAAATGCTATTCGGAAAATGCATATTATAATAAAATTAAATTATGCATAATTATAAATTTTTTGTTGCTGGCATTTAAACAAAACTAGCGTGGCGAGCAGGGAGAAAGGGCAGGCCCATAAAACTGTCATAAGGCGGTAAAATTGTGAGGAGCTAAACTAGATATGGGGAATACTTAACAAGTTTTTCATTTTCTTTTTGTTGCGACACGTGTGCCTACAAAATCTGTAAGCGTACCGGGGCAAAGCACTAGCCAACAAAGTTTTCAGAATTATAAAATAAATTTGAGGAACATTTTTTGTGTATTGAAATAAAATCTGCTCTGGTAAAAATCAGAAATCATAAAAATGATTGAATGAAGCTATTATCATACAATTTATAGCTTAAATAAACCAATGAAAATATATTCTTCTATATTATAAATCCAAGATTTCCGTTTACATAGTTGTTATGTTGGAATAGGTTGTAATAGGCACAAATAAATTTAAATATATTTATCTTACGGTTATCTTATTTAGTTTTCCTTAGCATATTTTCGCCCCAAAGCTGCGTAGTCCTTTTCTTTCACACTGTCCACCTATATATTCCCATTTATAGTCCGAGTCCTCTATTAAAAGCAATTCGTATTCGTATAGTGCACAACTTTGTTGCACAGTGTAATAATATTTCCATAAAACCAATGAACGCGCTGAGGGCAAAAATGTTTTTGTGCTCAATTAGCGTATAACATTGTCACAACCTTCCGGCAGCCCCCAAGGCCCCGTGTTCGACAACATCAACAGGTAAAAAGCTGATTTGGTATGCGAAGGAGTGAGCAGGGCTAAGGGAGCAGGAGCTGCCACATTTCATAATCGTTAAAATGGATGAAAACCCCTTTTTGTCTAATGCTCATTTTCATGCGTTTTCCCGGAAAATTATGGCCACAAAGTGCTCGGGCATAGTTTTCCATATTTTTCCCTGGGCTTACGCGTGGCCGCGATTTAAATTATGACAACGAGGAGCCCAGCTCGACTCGCCTGGGTGCCTGTGTGCCTGGCTTCCTGGCGCCAGACCCGTTGGTGGCCTCTTGCATTTGGATTGGGTTTGGGATTTTGTTTGTCTGCTTAACGATTTAAATAATGTCTGGGCACAGGAAGGATAACAAGCGCTATGGCGCTTCCATGGAACTATAAATTTTCAATTCGAGCTTGTAGCAGAGCATAATAATGGGCAGGTGGCAGGGGCAACTACTAAGTAGGAGCTGGAGTGCTGCCGGTAGCAGCAACAGCAGCAGCAGCAGCAGCAGCTGCAAATTGGGACAAACTAATCTTATCAAATATTGACAATAACCCAATTAGTAACCACCTACAGCAAAGAAACGTTGCAGAAGACAAACAAACATTGCGCAAAAGGTTTCATCCTCATCTTTTATTTCTTCAGAAATGCTACTAGGGAAGCTGTCAGCCCGACTGAGAATGGGAATGGACTGCGAGTAAGACATCAAGGAGGCAAAGTCGCAGGACAAATATCAAACGCAGCTGCCGTCAGGACAATGCGGATAAGTCAAATCGCAAGATGCTCGCGTCAACCATAAAACTAGCCAGAAAGATAAAACGCACGCCGGACCTAAAACCCGAGAGCCCGCACCAGGACCGCCCCTGGCGAACGCTACGAGTTTTGGTGCACGCCAGGCAGCCTCTAATTTGTGAAACTTGCCTACAGTTTAGAAAGCGACGGGCAGTCGCCGTCCGTCCGCAGTGGTAAGTCCCTCAGCGAACCCCTAAACAAAAGAGCAACCTCCTACTTGCCATGACATTTGAGATTTTGCAGTCGATGATTTCCAATGCCGGACAATGTCGCTCAATTCTATAGAGATGTTCTTTTTACTTTTTTTTCGTACAGCTCGTGAAAAGCGCAATTCTAACTGCCCACAAAAGGATCCGAAAATTTGCCATAATCATGACGTTTTGTAGTTTACCTTTTCATAGATCCTGTGAGCATTTGTCTCACTGTTTTCGCCTGAATAGTTGGATACATCTTCTTTATAACATAATCGTTGTAATGTTGCATCTTTATGCGACTTACCTAAACAGAACTGAGCAGTGAGGGGGTGGGGAGTATGAGTGTAAATGGATGAGCCAGCTATAGAGTACTTTTCCTGTGCATTTGATTGTTGATCATGATCTACAGAAAAGTAACTTGTTCTATTATGGCTGAATTACGAAAGATTTTCTGTGATTATTATTATACCCTTGCAGAGGGTATTATAATTTTGTCGTGAAATGTGTAACGCATAGATGGAGACATCTCCGACCCCATTTATTCTTGATCAGTATCAACAGATAAGTCGATATAGCCATGTCCGGCTGTCCGTCTGTCGGTTTCTAGTCTCTCTATTTTAAAGCTATCGTGATGAAACTTTGCGGAAGTCCTTCTTTCTGTTGCACGCAGTACAAATGTCGGAACCGGCTGGATCGGACCACTATACGAACTACGAAACGATCTACGATCTACTACGGACTATAGAAACGATCGGTCGAAAAGTAGTTCTTGTATAAAAATCGTTTTTGTTTATCAAGATATCTTAATCATACTTGGCATTTACTAGTTTGTTTAGTTTAGTTTAGTTTCCTTGTATATATGCGAAATCCTCGTCCAACATCGGACCACTATATCATATAGCTGCCATAGGAAGAATCGGTCGAAAATTAAGTTGTTGTATGGAAAACTTTTTGTTTTTCAAGATATATTGACCAAACTCGCCATCTATAAGTTTCGCTATGTTCCCTATAATTATGCGAAATCTTATTTACATCGGACTGCTATATCATGTAGCTTCAATAGGAACGATCGGTCTAAAATTAAGTTGTATGAAAATTTTTTGTTTTTCAAGATATCTTAACCATAATCGGCATTAACTATTTTCCCTGTGCTTCTTAGATACGAGCAAATCACTATGAGCATTATGAAAAGGTTGGCTTGGCAAGGGTACTAAATCTTCGGCGTGCCGTTTGTTTCTCGTTTGTTTTAAGTAAATCTTGGTACCTATAGTCAAAAAGCCTTAACATATTGTGCTACAATAGTTATAAATTATTTGTTGATATTTTTAACTCGACTTCGTCCAAATTGAACTTCTTTTGAAAATATCAATTTTTATATCCATTTAATGCTCGTAAATATTGCCATATACAAATGTAGATAGAACGGAAGGGTCAAACTATAAATTATCAGGCATTCATTGGTCCGGTGAGAGAATGTACAATAAATCCCCAATAAATGTTTTTCATTTACTGAAAACGTAACTCATGAATATTTCAGCAAAAAACAACTAAAGGCCATAAAAATAAAATGCAAAATGTGCGACAGACGCCGAAGTAAAACAACAAATAACAAATAAACAAAAATAATGCACAGTTTTATTTAGGAGCAGGTTTTTCTTTACTGTTTTTTTTTTTTTTTTTTTGGTCTTCTCGTATTGGTAGATGAGAACTGGAAGCTGGCCAAAAGCAACAATCACAAAAGTAACCTCAAAAATTTCAATAAAGACCACAACAAAGCAATTTATATAAAAATGCCACAGAGAGCAGGCGGGGATCAAGTAGTGTGAGAGCAAAAACAACGACAACAGACGGCAAATAGAGCAAAATATTGGATGGGCAGGGGGGGCTATACTGGTTGGGGACCCGGCACGACATTTTAACAAAACAATAGAAATCAATTGATTGCGTTGTGGGAAGCTTAGCACTTGATTTCCGTTGTGTTGTTGTGTTTGGGATACCGCCAGGGGTAAAAGGGGGGCAAGGCAGTTAGCCCTGGCCCAGGGGGCGTCGTAGGGAGAACGGGAGGATTGCGTGCGCCACCAAAAAAAGCCAAAGGACTCGCTGTTGTTGTTGTTGTTGTTGTTATTGTCGCGTTACTGGCGCTGCGTTGGTGCGGCTAAAATTCTATTTTTCCAATTTTTGCGCAATTTATTGCATTGTCAAGGGATTCGCAGCAGAGCAAAAGCAAAAAAAAAAAGAAAAAGAAAATGAATAGAAAAGCAAAAGGCATAAGAAAAACACCAAATACAAATACCAAACAAGGCTTCCATATTAATAGAAATCGATTGCCGAATACCCTGTAAACTGCTTTCACATGGTAAACAAACATTTATAAAATATTTAATATAAAATATATGAAATTTAAAAAATAAATTAAAATTAAAAAAAAAAAATATTTATAGATAGAAAAGTCAAATATAAAATATAAAAATATATTAAAAAATTAATATACAAGAGAATATAAATTTTAAATATAAATATATTAAAAAAATTTAAAATTTAAAAATTTAATATATATAAAATAAAAGCATAAAATATAAAATTTAAAATATTACAATACACATAAAAACAGAATATATATAAAAAATATAAAATGTAAAATATATAATATACTTAAGAAGCTGAAAGGTAATACCTTGTGATCCTAATCAATTCCGTCTGTCTTCAGCGTGCGTGGCATTTCTATAAAATGTGATGTTTAATTCCTTTTAAAGCATCTAAAAAATTTAATTTATATTAAGAATAGTTAAATGTAGAATAATATCAATTGGCACACCTGCTTGTTTCTCATCTTTTATAAAAGAGATCTTAAGCAAACCTATCAAAGGCTACAGATTTCATTTCCATTAGCTTCGCATACCCTTTAAGTACAGGGTATGAACACCAAATACAAATACCAAAACATAGTGCGGCTTGTTCGATGGTGTATCCTGGTGGGTCCTGTGGTTCGTCTGTCTGTGGCTGGGGTTTGCTTATGGTGCTGGGGCTTTGGGGCTTTTGTGTGGCAAGCGTAAAAGTAAACAAAGCTAAAAGCGGAAACGCAAGTGAAATAATGCCGCAGAGCTGCACGGAGCTGAACAAAGGCAACAACAACACGACATCAGCAACTAAACATCAATAAGCATTGACTAACTGGGATGCCGTAACCAAGGAACCCGGCAACAGCTCCTCCGACTGGCAACTGGGGAGTCACAGCATTAATAGCTGAAATTAAATAATCGCTCCTTAAGCGAAACGTCGACAACGACGACGATGTCTGCATGCAGCACAAAAGAATAAGTGAAGACCCAATTGGGATTTGGTTTCGATTGAATAAAATTAATTTTAATTGGTTCTGCCGGGTTGAATAACGCTGCGGGAATAGTGTGCGAATGATTTGTTGTGCTTGAAACTAAAATTTGTATTACACAAGAATTATCCAAGTATTCGACTTTAATAGATCTCTAATCAGAAGCTATTCAAGCTCAGCCGCACATCTCTCAGCTGCCTTTTAATGTCTGACTCACAGCTGGGCTGTGAGTCATGGGGCAAAGGTGTATTAAAACCGTAGCAACCCTCCATAAACTACCCACAAGTGTTGTCAGTCTACAGATTTTTATCGCAGCATACCAAAAAAGAAGAAGAAGAGAATCCATTAGATTTTGACAGACGTGCGTTTATTAATAAAATTTTTATTATATTCCTCGATAGTTTAGAAAAGGAACCTAACCTGATAAGCATCAGCTTCATAAAGGGTAGAAATAACAAAAAATACATGGAATCTAGGTTTTATGTATGCATTTTACCTGGAACGAAATATGACAAAGAACGATTTGAGTTTGGGCTTAGGCTGAAATAGGCTACAGCTGTTTAGGTCTGGTCCACACCTGTTGATAAGGCGGCTAATTTTGTGTGTGCCCATCAAAACAATAATATCTGTATGTGTGTGTGTGTGTGTGTGTTTGTCTCTAGCAAATTAGTCGATGATTTAGTTAGCCAAAAGGGTTCAAGGATTCTGGAAGCACACACACACACCGCCATATGCTTGGAGCCGTGTCTCTTGGGCTCGATTTCTGACCGTGAAGTGTGAATTTCTGGGCTGTGGCCAGAAACTTTGCTGAAAGCCGAAATGTAATCAAAATAAAAGTAAATAATAAAAGGTAAAGGCAGCCTTGCCTACTGTGCCCTGTGTGTCTGATTGTGTTAAACGATTCGTGCGCACAGCTGATAGACAGCTACGGGGGCAGGGAGGATTTAGGGGGTTGGCTGAAATCAATGCCACAATCAAAATCATTGCAACACAAAACTTGTCTAAGCCTTTTTTGCTCGGTCCTGAACTATCTGTCTATGCCTTCAAGGATGCAGCCAGTCGAGCATGTTGTTGTTTATTTTCTTGCCTTTGGGGAATGCCTGGCAACAATTTTATTATCCTTTTGCCGACTGTGTGGGAAAAAAATTCTATATTAAGATAAACATGAGCCTTTTGATTTGTTGTTGTTTGTGCCGTTGCTGTTGTTGTTGTTGTTGGTCCTGTTTGCAGCCTCAAGTAGCCTGAACGTTGATTGAATCTTAAGGCTAGCATCCTTTTTGGGAGCCTTTTGAAAATTTGATTTTAGGTTAAACGCAATTAAATTTCGCCTAAGGCTCTGATTTGATTTACTCAGCTCCTTCCCAACTGTTTCTTGTTTACGCTAGAGAAAATTGAAATTTTATGCATTTTCCCATAGTTTGTTGTTATTATTATTATTGTTGTTGTTGTTGTTGTTGTTGTTGCTGCTGTTGGTTTAGGCTCTGCGGCATTTGCTCAGTGCGGTCAACTGTCGAAAGGATTTGAAATTATTTTGCTCCTTTGCTTGTTGTGGGTGCTCGCAGGCATGGCAGGCGTTGATTAATTGATTTTATATATGCACTAGCAGACCAAATACTATATATGATAAACCGTCTATGCCCGAAACAATTGCAATGCTTTCTATTTGGATTAGAACTGTGTGGGATTTTCGTCTCTGCTAATTAGTTTTTGAGGTTTCATTTTATTTGAGGACAGTCGAGTTATTCACTCACTTGCTTTAAGCTTAAAGGCAATTAAATGACTTTATAATATTGCTCGAATCATTAAATATAAATTATCTGATGCAAACAAAGATTTTAATTGTCTTTAATGAGACGTAATAGATGCATAAATTCATTTCGTATAATTGAGCATATATTTATAAGTTTATTCCGAATCTTTTCAGATCCTAACCCCATCCGAAAAAGGAGAGCAGCTGCCATGAGGAAGTATCCTGTAAGAGTTATACAAAGGTGAGTCATAAAAAAATGTTATCTACTAGTCCAATCTTTAACTCCTTATTTAATTCCTAACAAATTTTATTAGGGTTTTGTTATCTATTGAAATTTGTTCAAATATGCTTAGCTCCTTTATGTGTTTTGTTTTTATGTACTGACATTGTCAAGTTCAATGCCAAGCAAATGTAGTTTCAATGAGGTTCAGGGCGTTTTTGAGCCAACAACTAGACGTTGGCATATTTCACGCCCACTTGGCCGCCAGGCGAAAAAAATGTTATTGCCAAAGCCAAGACGTTGGGCCAAGTCTAAGCTCTGTAAATGTAGAGCTTGCCAAGGCAGCCGTATCCACTGAGGAGCGCGTCGAGCACATAAAATTCAATAAAACGCATATTTGCTGTCATTTGTTCCGAGTTTTGGGCGCCAAAGTGCCACAAAATTTGCTGGAGTTGCTGGAAAAGCGACGAAAATGGCGCTAAACTTGCTAAGAAAACACAGACAAACAGACGGCAGAGCAGACAAGTTGCAACATTTTTATTTCTCATCTGCCATCATCATCATCATCATCATCGCCATCAGCATCATCTTCAGCGTCGTCATCATCATCATTTTGAAATGATTATAAGCATTTTTGGCTGATTTAGCATATTTTCGCCGCTCGCAATTCTCTCTCGCTTTCTCTCTGATTGGCACGCACTTCCGCTTCCGCCTTTTTGGTTTGACGTTGGCCTAAAGACTTCCGCTTTCAGCGGTGCTCTAACTTCATTTTCATCTTTTTGTCCGCCATAAACTTGACAGTTGTTATATATACCCAGACATTAAGAGCTATAAAGGGCATATTACTCCTTGACTCTAGGTACGGTCTGGTTTGCCACATCCTCGAATCCGGCTTTTGTCTTAAACATAGGTTTCTTATATATATTATACATTTAAGTAAAACAATTTAATATGTTTTTTACAATTGCCCGCTGTACTGAATATATTGTTAATAGTAAATATTTTCATATGCAAGTGCGGACTACATTTAAACCCTATCCAAAATTTAAATATACCAAAGATATTTGGATAAATGCTTTGAAGTTAGATCTCCCTCAAATTTTATTTATTTTGAATCAAACCTCGGTTGCTCTTTGGACAGTAAGACATAAATTTGAAAGCCAGGTTCGAACCAGTATGGTTCAAACCCAGTTCGCAGCCTTCTTCTGATAGCTTACAAAGCTATGTTCATTACTTTTATATAGGGTATCTTTTAGTTCTGCAGCGTTTTGTCAGAGCTTGTGTTTTTGCGGTTTGTTTTTATATGTCGGCTGCGGAATTGGAGGCTGACGACGGAGCTGGGTGGGTAAATGTGCAAATTTGTTTTGCTAATGTTTATGCAAATACGCGGGAGCACATCAAGAGTCGCACTCGGAGTTGGAGTTCGTATACAAGCTGGTACACTCATCTTTATATGAGGCTGTCGACTGTTGCTGTTTATGAAAATGTCTCGTAAGTAGATGGTTCTGCTCCACTCAGCCTTATCCACAGCTTCCTTGTCTCTTCTCCATTCCGCTACGCTCATTGTCGCGTCTTATGTAAATTTAATGCTAAAATGTTTATTTTAGTAAGATTTGCTTAGCTCTCCAAATGCTGCGTCTGTTTTGCTCCTAATGTCTTGCTGGGCGGTGGGCGATGGGCGTGTTGCCCAAAACCTGGCGTCGTCCTTTCACATTTTGTGGTGTGGCTGGGCTGGGCTGGTCATGGGGGTTGGCGAGGGCATTCATATAGCGTCCATAATGCTAAACGACGCATAATTGAAACATTATGTCAGATTATTGTTAGCAAGCGCAGAGATTTACTTAGTTGGCGTTTTTTTCTCCCTCTTCCTCTGCAACTTCTAGTGCGGTCTGTTTGGTAGTAAAATTGCCAAAGGAGCTGGAGAATAAGTTTGTGAAACATACGAGCAATGTCAAAGAGATTTGCTTATTTAATGCTGCCCACACATATGAGTAAATATGATGGCAATAGTAAAATATTTTTGGGGTAGATAGTGGTTTGAGTAATGGCAAACGATAAGAAAGCTCATGGCATGAAACTTGTTTGGGGCGTAATGCTTAATGGAATGAGAAGAGAGGTTGCTTTGTAGCTAGGCTTTTGTGTGGAACTCAAATGGTAAATGCAAGCTTAGAACTGGGAGGTCTAATGTCAAATGGACCATGGAAATTGACACGTTTAAGGAAAATCCCACTTTTAATTGGGTTAAGAGTTTTGAGAATGTTTGAATTCCTGTCTAAAACTTGCTATATACATTTTGTTGAATTAGCTGAAGGCCACTTAACATTTCGATTGAAAAACATTTATTGTCCCAATTTATTTTATTTTACCTTACAATTTTTCTTCCCCCTCTCAGAATCAGATAGTAGTAAGGACTTCGTGAGTAACCTATTATATATTTTGAGCTACATGTTCAATACGTTTGCTTCGCTCACAATCCAATCCTAACTCGTATGACTAATGATAATTTAAATCGCATGTAAACCGAGCTCATTTTTCCGCGTTAAGCCAACAAAGCGAAGCGAAAACTTTTAAATTCCCCCAACATTTTGCCATTAATATCACATTTATCAATATCACAGTTTTTCATTTCATTTCATTTCTTCGTCGTCTCGCAAACGTATTATTTTCTTTTATTTCCTGCACTGCTTTTTTTTATGTGCAATTTTCATCCACAAGACGAAGTGCGCAGAAAAAAAAAACATTAAAACACACAAACAAAAAGAAAATAGAAGTAAATAGAAAAACCCATTTCCATTATACAATGCCACATTTCTCTTTTCCGGTTTATACCGTTTAGATCGATTGCATTTTATAGTTTGTTTTAATGTTGCCTGTTGTTGGCCTCGCAGGACGCAGGACGAAATAGCTGCGGGTGTATCTGGCGTTGGAGTAGAGACTGAAGATGGGCAACTGTCTCCGGGACAGGCATTTATTTTAGCTGGTTGCAACAGCTTCCTTTGGCCCCGGAAGCGCTACAAATTGTCTGCTTGAAGTTCTTAAAAAAAAAAAGAAATAATTTTATTGCTTCCTTTTCATTTAAATGGAATATAACATCCGTTTGTGGCTCATACAATGCGCCATTGTCCCGGCCTCTGCACCTTCCACTGTCTCGGCTTCAAAAGATTTTAAGTGTCCGCCACTCTTGCTTCCAAATTTTTGCTTCTATTTTCACTTTTGCTACAATTCAATTAGGCATTCGCCTTTGTGCGTTAACCAGAACCTGAAAAGTCAAAAGTGAACACAATTTCCCCCGCCAATCTCGGGATGTGGTGTCCCTTTCATGGGGTCAGTTTATAGTGCAATGAAAATGGAGTCTGCCTCTACTTGTCCAGTACATATGTGTAATATTTGTATGTAAAAGGACTAAGAGCACTTTAGATAAGTATAAAGTAAGTTTAATAGATTGCTTTTAAGCGATTAAGCTATAAAATATATTCGACTTTAATAATACTTCGACAACTGCAATGTTGAGTTGACTTGAAAAATTTTTATAAGAATTGCAGAACTACTTTATTTTCTAAGATTTATAACGAGAATGTAGAATATCTTCGGCTCGCCAGATTTAATACCCTTGTAGACATTTGCCTTACGGCTTTGTATATATATGTGAGAAACTCGTAAATGCCATTTTAAATATTTTACAATACAAGAACTCTTATTTTGACCAATTCTTCCTAAGGTGCCACATAATATATTTGTGCGATATTGATAAGATTTGTCTTACATATTATAAATGCAAGTGTTCGGCCAAGAGAGCTTGATAATGTTTTTCTTACAAGATCTTAATTTTCGACTGATGGTTCCCATGACAGCTATAGGATATGAAATACCCTCTACAAGGGTATAAAAATTTAGAGATATTTGGCTTATATTTTAATCAATTTGCTCAAATTTGTAAAATATAGCATTTTATAAAACTTTTAAGTGTACTTCTATGTGTATATATACCATATATGTTTATATAGATGTATACACCGTATTTTTTCTATTTCGTGATTAATTTTTGATTTAAATAAATCAATTAGGTATTCATATAGAAATGAGTTGACAAAAGGGGCTTATCACATGCCCACCTTTAAGCCATAATCCTTCAAAATGATGAACATTCAAATTACACCTAGAAATGGCTCATTTGTCTCAATTTCTCACCCACACACACACACGACTATATATACACAGCGAAATCGAATTTTCGCAGCAATTAATCAAATTAAACAAGGGCATTCGGGGAGGGGCAACCGAAAGGTTAACCTTTAACAAAGTTAATTGAAAATTTTGCGGTTGTACTTTTGAGAAGGTCTGTGGACGGGGGTGTGTGGCCTCTTTGTGTCCTTTCTGCAGCTGCAAAAATATATATATATTTGGATGCATGCTCTTTAAAACTGGTTAACGCGGAGAGTGCAACAGCGCAGACGGTTCAGAAACAGGATCAGGATTCACGCACAGCGTCAGGACAATTACGCAGACGATTAGGCACGCCGCTTAAATCCAATAAACCCTACACACCCCCGCACCTACAGCTCTATGCTCCTCTGCAGTTGCGTTTTCCTTTTGCCGGGATCTGCCAGCTTTTATCAGCTGTGAAACAGTTGCCATTGAAATGGCGCAGAAGTCGTTAGATAGATGGGCAGCAAGGCAAGCGAAAAACCAAACGAAGGATATAGGAGTCGCAACCAACGCTACATCGTCCTTAAGCCCAATCCCCTAGTTCGTATTGCTGCTCGCTGCTGCTGTCGTTTAAAGAAAAAACATTGCGAAAATTGCTTTACAATTGATTAAACACGGAACAAACGCACGGCACGTTTAAATTTGGGTTAAATAGATTATATGAACTGGAAGTGTTATGAAATGATGTGGTCTGCTAGCTCGACGAGTACGCCTCGCCGTCTCGGTTCCTCGAGTCCTCGTCTGCTCCGTTGCTTTGTTTTTCTCTTATTTCAATTCGCTTTTGGCGTACTCTGCTCCTCGATGAGTTCCAGCCTGGTGGCGGCGCCTTTTCACGCTCCAAGTGTGGCAGTTAATGGATTTCCTAGATGTTAACCACAGTTAGGGATTCGGATTTTGTTTTTATTTCACTTGTTTTTTTTTATCGTTTTTCTTTTGCCGATGGTCATTTGATACACTTACGTGAGGCAGGACACCATTTGGTTTGACCTTGAACGGATAATCGATTAGGGAATGCTCAAGCGAGTAGATGCCATCACTTGGCTTTCGAAACCAATTAAATAAAATAATATATATTGAGCAGAGGTGAGCAATAAAAAAGCTTATGTATTGAAAAGTTTTTAAATAAGTAATTTAATTAAATTTTTTTTTTCTAAAGAGTTTCAAATCAAATGTGATATTTTTCTTACTGAAAATTGAATCTTGAGCAGGATTATCCACATACCCCGAAAATCAACTGAAAGATACTTGAAAGCTGCTTCAATAAACTTGAACCCTCATCAATCACAAATATCTGATCTTTTCTAAACACATGACGCGCCTATCACTAACCCAAATCTGTCCAAAAAAATCCAAACATGCTAACAATAAAATGTGCTTGAAAAACAGGATAAAGGATATCACAGTCCAATGCCGCCCACTAACAACAAAAACTATCGCACACTGTATAAAAGGATTGAATAACTTGCTTTGAATTTGACACGCACTTTGTAAGCAGATACCCAACCAAGCAACAGACCGGAGCTGTCCAGCTTTAACTAACAACAACAATGTGATGGTTTTAGGGGTTTTGCGGAGGGGAAGGCGCGTCCCAGACGTTGCCATGAATCATAAATGGTATCGTCCTTTCAGACATACCATCCCATTCTGGGCCCTCTGTCCTGTTTTCGACCGCCTTTGGCCACTTTATTTGTGTTGCGCTGTTCCCAGCGACTTTTTGCCGTATTTATAATTTAATTTAGCAGAAATTTTGTGGGCGTTAGGCAAAAGAAACCAAAAAATATGAAACGTTCGTCGTTTGCTTGTAAGGATTCGCTCGCTTGACCGGAAATTTGAGCGCTCCCTTCCCCTACGTCCAGCTAAACGTTAACAGGCACTAAAGTCCTTCCTTGGCTCGTCGTTTGCATGTTAAAAGCACATATGTGAGGACATATGCGAGGACACTACTTGGGCTTGCGATGTTTAAGTTATGTACTGCCCATATAAACCATGTCCACTAACCATATAGACAGACTGAAAGCTGGTCGGAGTGTAAGCGGAGGGGCTGCATTGACTTTGTGGTTACTTTGCGGTGGCGTGTTTGGGGTTTCACTCTTCGGTCCGCTTGGGTCTTCGACTCCACTCACATGTGTTTATGAATACATAGAAATTTTTTGACATTTTTATGGTTGCCTGGGGCGCTGGTGCGCTACGCACGCTTGCGGGAGCAGTTAAGATTGTGAGCAATACCAGAGATTGTGAAGGATTTGTCAAGTAAAAAAGAAGAAGAATATGCAATGTATCGATAACAACGATCGTATTACGACACACTGCTTATATTTAATATTAGGCTTGCAGGATGCATACAGAAATGTATGGAAAAGAAATTTCCTAATGAATCAATGATAAAGTTTTTCATAAAATGTACTAATATTTATTTGATCGATTACTCAAATAAATTAATCATGCCAAACGTTTATCGAGATTAGTTCGCGTTGATCGATAATTAAGCTTATCTAAAGCTTCCTAACAATATGTTCTAAAATTGAGTTAATTAGAAAAATATATATAGATCAATTTCAGAACGTTTTTATGATATTTATAAAAGTGTAAGGTAATAATAAATGCGTACCGAAATATATAGAAAAGAAATCTCGTAATGAATCAATAGTGTTGATCTAAAGATAATGTACTGGGATTTATTTAACCGATTATTTAAATGAAATAATTATGCCACATGCTTATCGATCATTGTTCGTATTTGTTAATAATTTGACTTATCTAAAGCTTCATAAAATACATATCGATTGAGGTGATATCGATTCTTATCGGAATAATCATACATTTCATTCATGTCTCGAATATGATATATCAGAATTTAGTTGATGTCTAAAAACAAATATTACACTTAAACTTACTTTATATATAAACATTATATATAATTTGAATGATTGGTCAATTATACATATATAAATTATATAAAATTGTAAACCAAGCCGAAAACCAACTTTGTATATAGAAAATTGGTCTCCTCTTTGTAGAGCATACAAGAATTCAATTAGTCTCAAACATTTTATGATTTTTCCCCAATTTGGCTGTCTATAATTTTTGTGGGTCTCTGGTACCGACTACCGACCCCCTTGACTTGTTTATTATGCCTGGTAAATGGCCATACGGTCAAGTTTTTGTTAGCTTGGCCATGTGGGTGTTGACTTTTTTAATGTTTCAATATGACTAAATGCTTCGGGGCAGAGACAAGTTGGCTCTGGGACCTGCCCAGTTTGTGTTGTTGCCCCGGAGCGTGTTTCGTTGTTTGGGGAACGCCTCTAAAGCATTTTTTTTCTGTTGGTTATGGCCTGCCATGTGTATTTATAGGAATTTATGAGGGGACAGCATGTTCCGGACATGTGCGGGAGGCTCTCCCGTTCGGAGCAAGTGTCAAATTCTCATGCGTTACGGTCGATATCCTTTTGGTTTTTGGTTACGCAAGTTGTCCAACGAGCCCAAGCCCGAGAACGAAAGCAACCTCTTAAGCACTTTGACAGCTACTCTTTTGCTTATTCACTGCTCTTCCTGCTGCTGCAGTGGCTCATCACTAATGAGGCTATCAAATGGCTGCTTACCAAGTGCCTCCCGGCTCTCGCCTGTCAAATGTGTCAAAATTCCAGTGTGTGGTTGATTCTGGTTGCCTACCACATCTCAGATTTGTATGTGTCTGCGGCTTGTGCGGGTCGGGTTGGGTCTTTCCATATGCATATAATGCATGTGTTTCCCAATACTCTTCACTCCCTTACCATTCACATGTGTCTGCCACACTTGTCACTTGTGTTTTTATAGCAGTTTTGTCTCTTGAGTGCCCGCCGCAGCGTCAGATTGTTTTCGTTATTTTTTTTTTTTTATTTTGCCCCCCTCAACTGAAGTGCTAAAATCTGTGTCATTTATTAATTTTGGTTGGGTCGCTTCGGCAGTTTTGTGCTTTTACATTTGTCATTAGCACGGATTTGACATTTCAATTATTGGCCTCGTGTTTTGGCTTGTGGCGAGCTGACATATGTGGGTTCCTAATGGATTTTACAAATGTCCAGAAATCATCTCCTCTACATGATGTATCCCACATAACGATGGAAATGGTGGGAAATTTGCCTGTACGTATATTTTCAGTTTCTCTTTAAGAAATTTAAAATCTTTAATCCTATTCAGTTGACACCTTCCGCACAACCCTTTCGGTAGTTTCTACATTAGCGCCTTGCCCATCTCATTCAGCCCCAGACCATCCATCAACGGCAGACAGTGGTGGCTGTGTTCTGTGTCCTGTTACCCATCTCTCAGCTTGTTTGCACTTCGTGCTTTTGCATTCAAATTGCGTTTATTCAAATAGATCCGAGCGCACACACATTTTCAATTATTTTATGCTGATTCGCAGGCGCCGCAAATCTTTTTGTATCTGTGCAGTCGTGTTGCTGTTAGATACTTGTGCTAACAACAACTTTTTTTTTTTGTTCACTTTCAACAGTGCCACAAAATTTAATTATGCAAAATCTTTCGCTTCGCTTTTCTTTATTTTTCCGAAAAAATCACTCAAGTCATTGCAGAGCTTCTCTCTGTCATTCTCATAAAAATGCAAACCAGCGCGCTCACTTTTTGATGACACTTGAATGTCACATATGAGTCCGCAAATGTCAGGAGCTGTACACACACACACACACACACACACATACCATAGCATACATGTATAGAAACTTACATATACATATATATTTTTTATGCTGCTGCTGTTGTAGTTGCTGCCGTTCTCTTACCCTTAGACGTGTCACAAAGTTTGACATTTAGTGGCTGGCAAAAACTGTCATCACGCGCTGGCAACTTGACGATGATTGCTCGGTTTGGAATTACGAAAAGTTCAACAAAAAGCTGTAAGTTGCATACTATGTGGTGTGATTTTAAGGCTAAAAGAAGATACAAAGCTATACGATTAGGCTATTATACTCTTTATACTATACGTTAACTATAACGAAGAATTTTCGTGACTGCGATGAAAGTTTTGAGGATTTTCAGCGAAATTACCCAAGAATTCCATGTTAACAATTGTACTTAGTAACTTTTTCAAAAAGGTTGAATCTTTTTGGGCCTATTGTGCATCGTCTTCTGGTCTTGATAGCCATCATATGCCATAGTTTTTTTTACCCTGCTGCCATTTAAAATGGGGTATATGAGGCTTGTGCAAATATATGTAACAGCCAAAAGGTGGCATGTCCGACTCCATAAAGTGTACATATATGTTCTTAACCAGGTTGACGCCTGTCATACCGTCTGTATTATCGCGTCGATCTCGGAAACTACAAGAGCTGGTAACATTTTTGTGTATATATATATTCTCCTATACCATCGCAAAATGAGATTATCATATCATACATCATATGTCGACATGCTAGCGACCATACAAGCATATCGATACAAATCGATTTTATGGCTTTCTATTTTAAACATAACTCAAAAACTATTAGAGCTAGATAGGCTAAATGTGGTGTAGGCTTTCGTAAAGTATACACAGATTAGAATATTTCTCTTTCTGAATACCTCCCCCCATTCCTCCCAATGTTGCAAAAACGCATTTTCGATAGCTAGAGCTATATGATTTGCTGTATACGCACGTTTGCATCTCATATTTATTCGGTTGAAGTAGCATGAAGTTGGGAAAAACATTGAAGCTATTTAATTTTAGTTTTGCCGTCGCACATGAGCTTGTGTATTGGGCATCTGCATTTGAAGCAAAATATTGTATTGACTAAGGGATACAGAACAAAATTACAAATTTTAATAAATACCATAGCTTTATATAGACAGGACCCTTGTACAGAAAATGATGCAGAAATAGAGAGAGAGGGAGATACAGAAATAATATTAGGGCAATTTTGTATATTGAATACTATATACAAACTTTATTTCTCTCTCCCCCTCCTCCGCCCTCCTCTCCCTCCCGCTTTTTGAATGCTAAATTCGAATTTTCTATGATATATTTACCACAACCATGAAACAGTTCCTAGTAGAGGGGTTATGGTGTCTAAAGGCGCATTGTTTGCCAATTTCAAGCTGCTCTTTAATCTTATTGACAGAATCAAAACAGCAAATGTCTAACCAGCTGGATTTAAGCCCCTTTACCTCGTCTGTTCCCCTTTTGCTGTCGCTTCCCCTTAATGCCCGCTCGCATTGTGCGCTTCCATTTACAAATTTCCACACCTACGCACACAATTGAGCGCGCGGGCAAGTGCAAAGAGCAAGAACAGAAAAAATTGTTAATGCCATTTGACAGTTGACAATTATAGCAATTGTCAAAGCATTTAACACGAGCAGAGTGCAAAACACAGATGCAGAGAGCGAGCGAGATATAC